TCAAAGATGATGGAGATGACTAGGAAGCAAGTGCAAATACCCAGAGAGTCAATTTGTTCACACTACTACATTTCCACCATTCCCTCTCAGGGAGTTCAAGAAAGTGCGTGTGGCAATCACCTCCTGCAAAAAGAACACGTTATCCCTAGGATTTTTCCTTATAAATTCACTGTAAATTGGCTCGGCCTGGTTGCCTAAAGACGTTAAAAGTGTGATTTTTTGCAACTGTTTTCTCCTGTTCCATTGTATTTTTCAAGTTTCCTGTACCTGTTAATCTAACATTACCAAAGTTATCCATGACGCTGTGCAAGAAAATCCCATGGTACCGGGTGGAAAGGTTGCAGAAAATTTGAATTATTAATCTTAAGGTGCTTTATGCAAGCAGGCTGTGAGATCAAGGTTAAAGACATGCACAGCTCCAATGGAAAGCTCTTTTGACATGTGTTCAAATGTTTCCCGCATTCGCCACTTTTGCATTACCCACAACAAACCTTCTTTGCCACCCGCCCACCCACTCCCCCAAAAAATGTGTAACCAATGTCTCAATTTCTTGTGGGTATTGCAGTTGTCCCAATGCTTATGCAACACTTTGGGAGTAAAAAGGTGTGTTACACGCAGCCTGCATAGCAAGCGTTTCCACTTGAGTTATTGTGCAAAAACTTCTCTCCCATTCCCCTCCCCCTTCTTTTATTTCTTTGCCATCACTCCGGTGTTGGTGCAATAACTCTAGCAGAAACGTTTGCTATGCAGGCTAGGTTATGGGGGATGCAAAAGTGACAACATAACTATGTCCACTGAGAAGAGATTAAAGACTGCTTATATAATTCAGCATCCTTATCTTCTTAATGATCCTAGTGCTAAAACTACAGTTGTTGACGGCAAACAATATAAGACTTAACAGCTTGGAATAAATCTAAGCTCACAAAAAGGAGAGCAATGGAACTGAATTTTGCTGAGTCCTGTTCTTCAAAAAATTTCTTTTGACTAAAGGAACAATAATATCAATGCTTAACACTTCTGTTGAATGTAAATTATATAACTATAAAGTTATAAGGTGAGAATATTGACAGGAACATGTCCTTGGCCCCTAGGAATTGTGTCAAATTAATAAAAAATAATATTAATTATAACAACAGTCTTTACTTAACTCAGCATGCACAGTGTTTATAATACAGCGCATGACCAGTCACATCATGAAGCAAAGGACATTCAAAAAATAGATGAAATAAACACCACAAGAATAGAAATCCCACTGCACAGGACAGACCAGTGAAGTTGGCTATTAACATTAGTTTGGCAGAAAGTGCCCAATTCTGAATGATTGAGAAACAACACAGTTAAGAGTGTAATGAACCCACGACCACTGGATAACAAGTCTGGGTACACTGAGCACTCAGTAATATTGTCCCTATCTGCTTTCAGTATAGTACTTCTCTCTTTGAAACTTCATTTTCCCATAGCCTTTTATCCTCTTCACAGGAAAAAATAACGGATTCCAATTTTTTGAATATTTTTGGATATTTTAAGAATACCCATAAAAATCCCAAATTTGGCAAAGTGAGACAACTCCCAACCAGGGAATTCCCAACCAAGTTCCCGGATTGGGACCTGTCTCACTCTTCCAAATTTGGGATTTTTGTGGGTATTCTTTAAATACCCAAAAATATCCAAAAATGGGAATCCGTTATTTTTTCCTGTGCTTCCAACCATTCCATTCGAAAGATCGAGTTCCTTATCATTTCAAACAACGAGCTGTTGTTGGTCTTCACTGCCATACTGAATCGGTTTTTTAAGAAAGTTTGATGCTATTGTTTTTAAGGAACAACCATTTAGTTCTACTAATTTCATTTGATGTCTGAAACCAAAGAAGTTGTGCTTTAGTCACGCAACAGTCAAGCTACAGTCATGGAATAGTCATGGTACAGTTGTGCCACAGTCATGCTACATTCAAGCAAGCTCAGCATTTTTTTGGCACCACTACAATAGTAATAGACCTTTTTACCAATAGCGCGGCCATATTGAATTAATTCGATTTAAGGAGTATTATAGGATGCCCAGGGGGCATGAGCACATTTTGTTTCTATTTTCGAGCGCTTATCGGGACATTTTTTCTTAAAGTTTTCTTAGAATAAGATTCTAATGAGAAAAAAGATCCTTGTGCCATGTTTAGGTGTAATAATGATCACCTTTCTCCCGAGAAATATACAGTGAAAGACCATATTTCTAATACTAAACTAGAAAATGGCAATCATTATTACATCCAAACACAGCACAAGGATCTTTTTTCCCATTAGAATCTTATTCTAAGAAAACTTTACGAAAAAATATCCCGAAAAGCGCTCGAAAATACAAACGAAATGTGCTCATGCCCCCTGGGCATCCTATAACACTCCTTAAATCGAATTAATTCAATATGGCCGCTGTATCGGTAAAAAGGTCTATTGAAACAGGCCATATCCCTTGCAGGGGTGTGACTCCCCTACAAAAGGTGCAGGATTGATTAAAAGAGACCATTCTAGGCATAACTCAGGCTTGAATTGGTGGGCCCTAAGGAGAGTATACTAATACAGGCAACAAATTTCCGGAACAAAAAAAAGGCTTTCTTTTCCCAGGTACAAAGCAAACTGTCTGTAATAAAGGGGTGTCTGTAATAAGTGGGCATCCATAAAGTGGGGTTTGTCTGTAAACAGCTGTGTTTTAAATGTGCAAAAGGATGTTGAAATTGAATGCTGTCAATGCAGTCTTCCACTCTGGGGGGAAGGGGGGGGGGGGTAACTTGGGTTAATTCTTGCTGGGCATGTGCCACTGGCCTCTCAGAACCCCTATCCCATTTTAGTCGATTATCAATGCAATCCAGCAGTGAAAATGCAACCCCACCCAGCAGCACAGCACATCCCCATTACTGATTAGCCTACTGGGAAGTACTCCCCCCCCCCCCCCCCCCCCCTCTCCCTGCCGGGTCTTCAGCAGGGTAAGATTTTGGTTTTCTTTGTATAACTAATTCTTTTCCCACCTCCCTGAGTGATATCTGCATGTATGGGTTTCTTCTTGACCACCCCCAAAGGCAAAAACATGTGAGCAGCCTATTGCCAGTTATCTCTCTCAACTGCTACAATCTTTCATAAGGCAATCTCCCCGAACCATATCTGAAACAAAATATATCGGTGTTTTTTAAAAGTACCGGCTAGTACAACAGCTGGGTACAAGCTGATTATGTCCGTAATAACAGGAACACTTACCGTGCGCTCTATTGCCTCTAATTTCCACATCCCCTCTTGTATGTATCCCTGTTTTCCTTAGCCCGCTAATCTACGAGTATGTGGTGGGCAGCTGACCAGTCAATGAGCCGACTTTTCGGGGCGGGGAGGGTGGAAGGTGGGGGAGAATGAGAATGGTTTCACCCAAGGTATAACCCCAGATGACATCTTTCTGGTAAGACCCACTGGTGATGGGTTGCTAGCTACCATGGCAAATATTCAACGAAAAGGAGATCACACATTTTAATATGTAATTGTTTAAAGACTTTTTTAATACTATTAACACAAAACATTGAAATTTATGGTGCAGTGCGTTCGACAGGCAGGGTACCAAAGCAAGTACGTGCCTGTATGTAGAAGCTCGTATGGGTCTGCTGGCAAAAAATGGAACGAAACAGAGTGAAGTAGAACGACAAGCAACCCAAAACTTGAGAGAAAAAAAGAAAAAGAATGATGTGTTTCCGGCCAGGCTCGAACTGGCGACCTTCCGCGTCGTAAGGGCTCAATTCGAGCCTACTTGTTAGGCGGACGTGATAACCACTACACTACGGAAACCTCCGCTTCAATATAGAGTGAAATTAATGTTTTTAAACCCTTAACATTGTGCTTTCTCCAGCGCGCGCGCAACTGATTCCATGTTCTGGGATTCTAGAATGATTCTAGTGAACTGTCTAACTTCAGAATACCCAGCCACTTGTCAAAACTCTTTCAAGAATGAGAAAGACGCATAACACTATAAGTGCTTTTGTTTTCACCGCTTCTAGTACCACCGACATCCTTGCAAGTTGCAAGGCAAATGTTCGATGTTTAGGCTAGCCGAGTTTAACCGGAATCGAATTTGACATTGAAATTGAAAACGACTTCTTCGAAACAGTGCTTATAAGTTTTCGACAAATTAAAGAAATGTGTTATTTCATAGCAAGAATCGTTCTGAACGGTTGTTGCCTGAATATTTTATCTCCACGTGAAGATCAGAGGGATGGAACCTGGCCTCATTCTCGCTATTTACATGTAAAAACAGGAACGGAGAGCTGGATAGGACTTATGGAAAAGGTTGGATCGGGGAACAAAAGTGAGAGAATATCAGATCAATTGACGACAAGGGGGCATGCATTAAGTCTTAGGGGACGAAAAACCCCTTTTAAGGTAAACACAAAAACAAGAAAAATTTTATTTGCTTAAAGTGTTTGGTTTCACTAAACACTGAAAAGGAAGGATGGCAAGGATGCATAAGTTCACAAAAGACATTGCAAATTAGTTTGCCCTTCCAGCGACTACTGGTATATATGTATCTCTTCTAAAACGTTATTCTCTTTTTAAAGTTGTAACGGCTATCGTCTTGAAAAGTACATTCTCATCACTTCCTTGTAGCATAATTTTCAGCGGGATTTTTGTGGACAAGAGTAGAGATAGACTTTGTAGTGTGATAAAATTATTTTCACGATAAAAATAAAAATTGAGGCGGCTGCGCGTGATTTACCGCCAGATTCTCGCCAACCGGCTTGTCATTTTTTTTTCCCGCCATTTTAATGCACCGGCCGCTACTGACGATCCGACGACGATGGCAGACCCGAAAACGTTAAGGTCTCTTAAAAAGTGAATATTCCAGTCTTTATCACGATTAATCAAATCAAAGGATTATCACCATTAACACAAACCGTCTGGTTAAAACAGGTACCGGCGCTCCCTGTCCAAAACAAACTCAGTGTCTATGACATGTACGGCGCGTATAGGTCTTTATTTTTGTTGTCACCGGTTGTTGTTTTGGTTTTTTTGGTTTGCTTGGGTTTTTTTATTTTTCTTTGTTCATAGCTCTTGCTTTAAGTTATTTTGCATCTGACGAGGATGTGAGATCAGAAACATCGAAACCTGTTATACCAAACTGAAAAGTATTGTAATCTTGTTAGAACTCATTTACTACTTTCTTGACTCCAGCAGAGACTATCAGTAAGACCAACCAGCAAAAGAAAGCTCAGGCTTTTTCCGGCTTCTCCTCCATCTAACATTCGTTGTTATGTCCTACTGTCATATTACAACGGGCCCGTAAAATTTTGTCTTAACAAAATAAGCTTAAGCAATAAAAAAATATAAAATTTTAATAGATAATGTCATCAGTTTAATACAAAACAATCGGGTATGTTTTAAACTGTACTTGCAAAGATTAATATATGATAATAAATATTTAATAGTTAATTTCCTTGGTTAGACCTGTCTAGCAGCAAAAGACACTTATTGGTCACGAAAAAACGTGAATAAGAAATAATTTAAAGGGTTTTGAAGAGAAAATTGTTGACCACAGAAAAGTATTAATTTCATACTCGTCTGTGGTTAACAATTTTCTCTTCTAAACTTTTTCTCTCCGTTTAGTGAAAGGGACCTCATGAAAACATTTGTTTTGTAAAATAGCGACTGATGATGATGATGATGTAAAGGAATGTATAGGATTGATTGGTCCAAACACTCAATAGATAAAACCATAGGAAATGTTTCAACAACTACCCGAATAAAATGGTTGCGTGCGAATGCACCTGGGCATGCGCACCATTACACGCACGAGTCTGCGCTCTAATTTATGTCCCATCTGTCACCATCATTTCGTTAGGATTCCACTGACCCAAACCACTCAAGCGGACAACGGAAACGCGACTCAAGTCTTTCGAGGTCATGTTCCTCTGTTGACCAAGAACGTTGTTAGCATCCCGTTTGAAAAACACCAGACAGTATAAACCAATTTTAACTGCCTGTTAACCGTACATTGTGTTCCTCTTCATCCTGATTTTTTATGTTTGAGTAGTTCATGGTCAAATATCGTAGATGATCGGTACCACAACATTATTTGTCACGGCTAAGGGTATTCGCTGGATAACTTGTGGCCGCTGCTTTGTGATCGTTACTCCCTTCTCGAGCTCAATAAGCCTGCAGTTAGAACAAAATCAAATAAAAGTTCCGTTCAGTTCGATCACCTTGGAAATTAGTGTTAAACAATTGTCTTTTAAGGAAACGAAAGAAACAAAGCTGTTTCAATTCGATACTATGCCCCAATCTGTAAATATTTGTTCATTTTATTTTACCAAGATCAAGTGCCTAGGAATAAATCTTTAATATGCTTCTAAGTTGGTAGGAAGTATATGGGCTAAAAACAAACCCTCGAGAACGTCTATAATATGCCCGACCTATCCAATCGAACAAAACCGAACAAAAAACCAATCGAACCCAATCGAACTCCAATCGTTCGATTGGGTTGGGCAATCGAACAAAATCGAACACCTATTTTGCTGTGAGTTCGATTTTCGAACCAATCGAACCAATATAATCGAACAAAATCGAACTAATCCAATGCAATTGTCTCTTGACGCCTCAAACTGAGTAAAACACGTGGAATATAATCATTGTCAGCTCTTATTGAATAAACAGTAACTGAACATCATACTGCAAGAATGTCAATGTTCGAACAAAACAAAACAAATAAAAGGCAATTTCGATGACTGTTAAGGTACTGTGACTGTTAAAAGGAAATGCTTCTCAACAGAGAAAAATCGCACCATTTCAGCAACAGCAACACAGGCAGTTGTGTTTAAAATTAGTATGATGCGATGCGCCGTCCGTTAATCGAACGTTCGATTATACCAATCGTTCGGTAATCGAACGTTCGATTGGGTTCGATTACCAATCGTTCGGTAATCGAACGTTCGATTGTGTTCGATTGGCAAAATTTTATTGTGAATTCGATTATGTTCGATTGAGTTCAGCAGTCGAACGATTGGTGTTCGATTGGGTTCGATTGCCGAACTGTTCGATTGGATAGGTCGGGAATATGAAACTTTAAGGCTACTTGTTTAATGTTGACGAACATCAATCGTCTTCAACGTAGACATAGGCCAAACGTCGAACTTTTCATGAGAAGATCCAAACTTATTGAGTTCAGTTAATGAAAAGGCCGTCGACGACTGGCTCATTAAGTTCGTCTGAATGAGTTTGAATGGTCCACCCATACCCATAGCCCAAAGTCAAATGGTCGGCCCCTTATGAGTTTCTATGACGTGACAATTTTATTCACAAAATTAGCCAAGGTTAATGACAAAGAAGCATTTATGTTACCGTTAATATTTGCTTGGTTTAGACGAGGGAAAGTTACACGTGTTCAACCCGGCCCTTATGAGGGTTTGTACACATAAGCCCAGCGATAACAATCAGTTATCGATAAATTTCTATTAGTTATTTTTAAAGTGCACAAAGTTTACAGCCCTTTCTTTTTCGATTTAAGAGTCTTGCCGTTTTCTGAAGTGCGAAGGGTGGAGAAGGGAAGGGAGAATAATAGACTCAGTCAGCCCGCCTTCTAATACCATTCGCTCGCGATCCGAACAGGAGGGCATTACGCCTAGTATTTGTCATGTTTCTTCCATTATACATTGAGGAAAAAAAGTAAAGGTACTTTAGATAGCCTAAATTAAATGCATCTATCCAAGTTCGCGAAGTCGCGATTAAGAATAAATAATTTTAATTTTATTTTCGATCATGTATATTAGTATCGTATTTTATATATTCATATGTATTTATAGAAATTTTTAGTCATCTTAATTCTCTTAAATGATGACATTTACAGCTGTATATTTTAGTTTTTTCGCCGGATAAGTCTAGTTGTTATATACAATGTATTTATATACATTTTATTAAGATAATTATATGTTAGCACGTACGTATTTTGAACGAGCTTATTAGCTTACTGGACATCACGTGGATGAATAAAAGATTGATCGATTGATTGATTGATTGCTTGACTGATTGATTGACACTCAAATTTGATTTTAAAAGGGGTCCAGGTAACAAGGAGCCTTAATCTTACCGTTAGTATTTACTTGTAGTCCAGGTCTTCGTTTCTGAACCTTCTGGGGACGGCGAGGAGGACGAGGAGGAAGACGAAGACGAACGAGGGGACGAACGTGATCGTTTCCTGGTTGATTTAAGGAAAGTTTATAACACTTCTACTTTAGTTTTACACAATAGTAAAAAAGAAAACCGTAAGTGGACACTTGTCTAGATAATTAATGATTTGACTATTAAGATTTTCTGTCTCACTTTGCAGGTTTAGAGTTATATTTAGATTAATTTAGATTGATGTACGTTTTCACTATTCGGGTGTTTGTGCAGACCAGGTATATTCCATACTTCTCCCTCTGTTTGTCAAAATTAAAACATGGTTCAAAGTGACTCAGCCAATTTTAAATTCGCAAGACAATTTGTTTAAAAGTGTTGAAGTAAATGAAGCACAAGACATCGTTCTCAAAAAGAATTTTTGGGAATTGCTTTTTTCTTTCTCATGTGTGATAACTTAATTTTTAGTTGTAAATAGCTTTTATATTTTTTTACTTATTTTTAGCTCTTATGCTATTTATTTTATTTGTTTAGCGGCATATCTGTAAATTAACTGGTGCAGTTTCTTTTAAACTAATTGATATAGCTAAGTGTTGTCTTGTATTGTCTCGTGTTGTTGATCTATACACGACATTTACAACTAGGATTGCATCACGCGATTTGCGTACGCAACATTCTTGACAATACTTACCATGGTACCGTAAACTTCTTTTTGTCAACCTTTGGGAACTTGTCAAATAGCCTCAGGGGGACACCGTAGTTTGATGTACCCTCATCAGAGAAAACATCTTCACTGCCAGTCTTAGCACGACGTAAGTGCTTAGCTAGACGCACGCAGAGGATGATGGTTATTACAGAGAACATTGCTATTACACCAAGGCACAACCACACGGAATTCTGGGAAGAGGGAGAAAGTACTGAATTTATAAAGGCAACTATCATCACGATAACAAAAAATGCCAGATTTTACAACTACTATTCCATCTACCACCAGTACTGCTAAAACTACAACCACCACTACCACTAAATAATTTTATAACTTTTGTAATTTGTTCACCCACGAAGCACTTTGGAGTTCTTAAGAACACGTTGAAACCTGTCCGTGCGTGCCAGATCGAATTGGAATTTGGAAGTGTTGGTTTTTAAGGAGAGGGGAAAACCGGAGTACCCGGAGAAAAACCTGTCGGACTGAAGGAGGAGAACCAACAAAAAACTCAACCCACATATGGTGCCGACGCCAGGATTCGAACCCGGGCCACATTGGTGAGAGGCGAGCGCGAGTGCCGTCACCACTGCCCCACCACTGCACCGCCCTTACTACAACTAAAACTACCACTACCACCACTACAACTACCAACACCATTACTACTACCACTACCCACTACCACTACCACTAGCTAACACTTAAACTACCACTTTCAACACCACTACCAACACCACTGCTACTACGTCTACGAGTCAAAGAAATAGAACCGCCTAACATTGAAAATAAAACCAATCTTACAGCAATTAATTTTAAGCTTCTTATGAATTCTAACGATTCAGTAAATGTGAATAAGTCAGTAATGAAGTTCATTTGTTTGTGTATTAAGCCTATCCTATTAACTATAAAAGAGTAATAAAATGTTGATTCTCTAATAAAAGGAAGAGAGTAATGCTCACCACAAGGCCAACAGCATTTGCACACACGTCGGATATCAAAACATCATATACGCCCCTGATTGGATGGCAATTTCCCACGTCATTCCGTACCTAAGTAAAGAAATGGACATTGTTATTTTTACCTACAATACAACTTTCTCCTTTTTTTCGGATTCTTTCAAAATGGCTCTTCCTCTTTAAAACTATTAATAAGAGAGCCTAAACCTCAATGACGACGGCAGCAAAAGAATTATTTATAAAGTAATTCCAGGTTCTTTAAACTTCATTGCGATTGTCCACCTCGCTCAATACTTTAAAGAAAGGAAAATGTTGCCATATTAAGCATATAGCTTTATTTACCTTATCAATAGCGTCTTCTAAATACTGATCCATCCAGCCTAGGGCGCGTCCTAAAGATCTCTTACCTGCCTGTGATAAAGAAAAAAGCAGTGAGCGTAGATAATGGTACTTTCGTTCCGAAAAAAACAGTAGTTTGAGGTGAGGTCAGCGATACCAAATTTTTATTGCATTTAATCGTATATCATATGTATGCGTAATAATTTAGCCTTGAACCTTCTTGTCACCGTCGACTTCCCCATTTACAGAACTAACCTCATTTGCCAGGATCAAGCCATCACCCTCCAGAATATTTCTGAACTTTATTCTTGACAGATCAACTTTATTAGCATCATTCTTTGGAAGGAAAAAAGATTTAACAGTGAACAGTATAACTTTACACAAAGCAATCTGCAGTGGTTCCAACCAGGGAACCTTCAGGGTGCTATCATGATACTGATACTCCCATTACAAATTACCTGCCCTGGCAAATTTCCTAACGATCCTGTAGGTCTTGCATGAATTGCTAGCTTTTATGATCGGCTACCAAACCTTTTTTAACCAATAAGAGCTAAACTAGCACTTTTTTTGTCATGGCAATGTAAAATAGATTTATCATTTTTTTTTTTTTTAATTCCCGCCTTTAAGATTTCGCGTCTTCGTTTTGCAACGCTTTGCTTGCCCCACAATGTCCTCCAGCGTTAACTCCAAGTTATGATTGATTCATATCAGATGAAATTTATTTTGGTTAGTTTTTTAACGATACATAAATTTAAACGCCCCATGTCAAGTTCCTCAAAGGTAACCTAAAAATTCTACGACAAGTAAGCTCAATTTCAAGCCGAAGTTAGTGAGCTCCTCCCCAGGAAACACTCTTCTCTAAAAAGAACAAGACCGAATTCGAGAGAGCGGTAAGAACCAAACCTACACAAAGAGAGGCGTTGTTACAATCTCTCTTACCATTACATTCATGTTTTTCGCCATCAGAAGTTGTGATTTCTCAGACAGTTTAACCTGGAAAGAAGGAGACAGGATAATTGAGTAAGTGCGACATACTACAAACATAAAACTTCCAAAAATCCAAATATCAATTCCGGTGTCATATGAAAAAAAGTTAATAAAAGAAAGTAGATTATCCAGCCTCACCACTAATACTTTTGATGCGTTAATTGAGTCATCTTGTAATTTGTTTAAACCATCTTTGGTTGAACGCAGTTTCTCAGCGACACCATCGGAAACCTGTTCGTGAAGGAAAATCACAAGTAAAAAGAAAGTACAGTGTGAAAGCTATTGCATCCACACTCACTTTTTCTACAAGCTTATTTTGAAAGAGAGGTCACATAACAGGTTTGATGAAGAAGGAGTGCCTAGAAAATTAACTGTTCAAATAAATATATGAAGAAGACTCTGTATTACTCATTTTATTCTGTATCAGGCTGGTAAAAGCCAATAAAACTCACTTGGTCGCTGGCTGCGGTTTCTAAATCTTTTGCAATCGTTGGAAGGGATAGACTGTTTTTCAACAAAGGTTTCGCTGCCTGCAAAACAGAAATAGGTAATTCAATTTTCTAGTGCCCAATACGTTAAATTAGTCTCTTATCCGGCCTTTAACTCTCTCGCTACTGCCATAACTGATAAGTGGTCGGTAATAGCAAATTACTACTAATATCGCTACCATGGGAAGCGATGGTGAGGAAACCCCGGTTCCCATTTTTGTCGAAAATGTAGTTCAATCTCCAAAGGATTCTCGAAGCTTCTGTCTTCCAGAGCCTTAATTTCTGGATACAAACGCTCACAGAATTCTTTAATCAATAAATATAGTATCTATATCTGGTTCCGTCCACAAACTTCGAGCCTCCTGTTTCTAATATTGTTGGCCATACCTCTGTTGAGTATTTGAAGAACTCGATTTCTTGCACCCCGGAGTTGAAGATATCGTTCACAGCTTTCTTGGTGTCATTTGTTACAAGGGTTATGTTAAGTAGAGTGCTGTTCAATCGAGAAAGAATTTCGTCCATTGGGGGAATTTTCTGTAATCGAGAAAATGCCCACATTAGTAATCAATAAACTTGTTATTCCATTGATTGGTGCGAAAAAAAACTCAGTTAAAAATGTATTCTTTAATGATTCTGGGTGATGCCACACTTCGGGCGTTTCCAGTGTCCAGACTGATCTTTGCGAAAGTTAAACAAAACCGAGCCTTTTATTCTAAAGAGGATGTTCTTTTTTGTTTAGCCCCCATGTTTTTTAAACACTCAGTAGCGATTAATTGAGTATGCAAAGTAAAGCCTTATGGGGGACTTGCCTCAGCTGAAGAAATCTAACCCTTTGCAGCTATTTTAAGCCTTAGCGTATTTGTTCTCGTCCTGAGAGGAGGGGGTGGTTGTACACAGGCTTCATACATGTGTACACCATAAACCTTGATGGTGTACCTAATGCGTATCGGGCATGCATACTTACGCTGCCTTCTCTTCAGTCGCTTCACCTTTCACACAGAGGCGAGTGCCACACGCGAGTAACACGCGAGTGACTGGTGACGAAGCGCAATGAACCTTGGGAAGAAGAAGGAGTAGAGGTGAAGCGCCGTTTGGCCGTTTCCTCCTTCCCTCCATCCTTTGCGCGCAAACATTCATCAAGAGCGAGACAGACGTCTGGATAGGAGGTAACATACTTACTTCTTTGTAACTTGTCATGTTTTCAAAGTTGAATTTACTGTCCAGTCGAAGAAGCTTCCAGGGAGTTTCTTTTTCACTACATCGTCTATAATGTGAGAAAAAACATTTGATCTCACTGTTTTATTTGCAGCGATAAACTCAGCAATGAGTCTTTAACACTCGGAGGTAGATGGCTCTGTACACTTACAATTTTTAATAAATTTAATTCGGTGATTATTATCCCAGCTCTTTGACGTCCGCATTGTTCGTTTTTGGTCCATATGGACCCATGCATATTTATCTTCCTGACCCATAAAGCTGTTCATTGAAGTTGTCAAGATGTTAATTAACAAAATCAGCGAGGATAGATCTTTCCACTGGTACCTCATTTAGCAAATTATGACCAATCCTGACAAATGGACCTTACCAAATTGTTTGAAATTGGCCATTTTTCATATAAAATTGTCGAATTTCAGCATGAAACAAGTTTGTAAGCCCAAGAAAAGAAGGAATTCTCATGTTGACGTTAACTCTTTGAAGTCCGCTTTTGTTCTTTTTTGGTCTGTAACAGAGTTATAGACAAAAAACAAGCAACATTTGGGGAAACAATCCACTTCTAATTTTGCCATTTTCCTAGTACTCTTTTCAGATTGAGTTTGTCCCTTTGTTGGAAAGAAAGCCAGCCAAAATTTCCCTTTGTTGGAAAGAAAGCCAGCCAAAATTTCACGCAAAAAAAAAAGGACAATAAGGTGGGCAACAAAACTGGCTATAAAGAGAAAGGCAAAGGGAAAAGAAAGAGAGCGAGAAAAAAAATCGAAATAGATTCGCCAAAAAAATGCGCGACAAACAAATCAGCGCCTTTATTAGATACAATTAGCAGAAAATTATGTCCTTAGTGTTGGAAATCTCTTTTTTGGCCATTCCCTTGCTAACCGGCCGAAAAAAAGCTCAGAAGGAGGATTTGGTCCAAAATGCGGTTTTTTTCCCTAAAAATTAACTGACGGCAAAGGGTTAGCGCCTGTCTCGTCCAATTTAAGTCAAGCCAAGTCGTCCCTATCAAAATTTTTGTGTAACTGGTTTTGTATTTTCCGTGGCTTAAGATAAATCATTTGTGTTTCAAGGGGTTGCTAGTGATTAAGTAACTGTCTCCAAATCTTGCAGACATCGACCAAGGAGAACTGTGTTACATATACAGTCGTCTCTTACGCACGACGACTATGCGATATGCATGCCGACATAGCATACCCCTTAAGCATTATTGTCTGTCTCTACCTGAGCAAATCTGACAGTCGAATCTCGGCGAATTCATTCCCCAGCACAGCCTTGGAAACAGGATAATATCCCAGCGTCGAAGGATCATCGATGGTCTAAAGAAAAGAATGAAAAATACCCTTTTTACTACCATGCCACTGAATTGAAATTGATTCCTTTTCTAGAGCAAAACTGGTAAGAAAAAATAACTGCCAACAATTGTGCGTTACCAACATAACTTAGTTAAAAATATCTCACGAATTATTAAAGTTAGATGAAAAGATGTCTAAATACACTGATCTTTTACTCGTAAATGAAAATCACCTTACTAACTTACACCTACCACTTACATTTTCTAGCAGGCTCAGGTCAGCAGCTGACTTGCAAAGAATTGTTGCATTTGCTCCGAGAAAGAAGGTCACAGCCAGGATGAGATTGAGAAAAAAAGCACTGAAGAAATACAGAGCGACAACACTAAGGAAGGAAGCACAAACAGCACAATAATTAAAATATTCCCAGTCATTGCAAATTAAAAAAGAAAAAGATTATTCCGAAGAGAAAAGCTATTGGTCTGTTACGTCTGCGTGTCACATCGGGCAACAAAAAGCCGTTTTCATGTTCTTTAGGTCAACCAATCAAATACTTTTTATTTCACTTTGATTGTCATTAACGTTGTTTTCACGTGAACATCACATGTTATATTATATTGGAAACAGTCCATCAGGATAGTATTTGCGTACCACATTAGTGCCCGTCCAGCGCAGTTTGAAGTGTTCGAGCGTGTGCTCGGTGTGTCGGAAGGACTAGAACCAAGGGCACCAGAGATAAGTGAAAGGAAGGTTAACAGCACAACAAATACGATCGCGAGCGAAACGGAAAGAAGGGTCATCCATCTGTGAAACAAAGAAGAAATAACTACATTATTTCCAGCATACAAGTAAGCTCTCAAATTCCAGCACGTGAGAGGTGTCTAGTATGAAAGGTTTCCTATACTAGTTTTACGCCACAGCGGTAGTTTCATAGCACGTTTTATGTTTTGTCATTGATGAATTCATTCCTTTACCTGTATTTATTGTATCTGTTAAATAACCCTCCTTTTCCAAATATAATGTGGACTTCATTTTTCGTCGGAAGTAACACGTCTGTTTGGAACTGAAAGTTAAAAAAATACAAGCTTCTTTGTTTGGGTTGCAAGTAAATAGGTCTGCAATACGTGCATGTATAACTTTTTCAATTGTATTTAGCCAGTTCCAGGCGTTCATATACTGGAGCGCTGCGCGAACCCTTTTTGCGTCGTTTCCACTATCCGAACGTTTGGAACAAGCTAAGTTGTATTTGATTTATGCGCCAAGGATTATTTACCGTATCACTAGCTTTTCTTATCGAGTCTACCATCTTGGCAGTAAAGTCTTGAAGTTCTTTAGTAAAGTTAGTTATCTCTGCAATTAAACACAACAGTACAGAGAGTTACAAATGGGCAGTTACAAACGAGGCGCAAAAAGCACGTAAATTGCAGCAAGGCATATATTCAGTTTCCAAAAGAATTTCAGTCGATGAATTATCCCAGAGATCAGATTTTCGTAAAGGACTTACCTTCTGAGCCAGATATAGTTGTTTCGTAAACTTTGGCTGCCATAGAACTAAATTTGCTCTCCCCCTAAAAAAGAAGAGTTTATTTTAGTAACAAAGCAAAAACCAAACCAGATGTATTTAGGGAGGGTGACCCTTGACATTTGCAACAAAGATCTGTGGCCAGGTCCCCATCTTATTCTCTTATAAAATATCAATCCTACTCACCTCGGTGCTTTGTACTTCAAAATTATATTTAGAAAGAATTCCTTGTATGTTTGATAATTCCTGCGCAGCATCTGGAACCTGTGATGCGGAAAATAATAATAATAATAAAAACAGCTCAAGCAGTGTATCGTGCAATACCATCGAAAACGTTTGATCTTGAATATGACTAATATAACATTTATAGTCACCGAGATACAGCTATATTATTTTCATCTTGCCATGAGCGTAAACCAAGAATCAAAATAACCTGCGAGCAAGCTCTCCATTTCTAGCGAGCGACCTGTCGGGACTAGATTGGGCCTGGAGATAACTATTTTCCAATTAATAACTATTTACCGCTGACATCTTACCTTTGTAAAGTCTGCTTCAGCTTGTAAGTCATCACCTGCAGGTATTTTATCACACGCACCGGCCGACACTGAGGGAGGGTCGTTATTACAGTCTGTTTTTGCTTCTGTCAAGTTATTTCGTGCCTCATCTAAGCCAGCACGTAGTTTTTGTCCAAGCGTCCGTAGATTTTGAACGGTGTCGGAAACTTCCTTTAAAGAGTCTTTGAGTTCTGTAAGTTCTGTAATTTATGAATCAAGGAAAGTGAAGGTAAAGTATCGGTCCGCATGCTATGTTTACTGTTACAAAAATAGGTCCGCACTGTGTACATACGCCTTATTAATGTTCCTTCAAACTTTTCTCCTTCATAAAAATGTATGTTTTGATTACAAGTCTTTGCTGTTTTTCGTTTCGGATTAAGTTTCTTCATCAGTTAAAAACTTTATCACCATCAATGTTTCACTGATGAATCGCAGTCATGATCAACTGAAATATTTGAGGAATAATTTCGCTTGTGTTGTGATCGAACTTTTACACTTACATATCTCTTTTATTGATTTTTACCGGGAGGTGATATGCTATAGTTTAACAAATTTCTCTCGTTCGACAGCGAACTACATGTGGTCCACCAAAAACCTATTCTTGGTTTTTAACCTCGAGATAAGCTGGCCACGTTGGTTGACAAAACAATACAAATATTTTTTTTTACAAATTTTGCATGAAAAACGAGTTTAGATCTCAGTGGAGGAAAACACCTTTGTTTGATAAAACACTTGACAACATCGACTGAAACCAGAATTATGAGCCTGCGAGAATGAGCTACAAAAACCTCGTTTTCATTGCAACCGCTGGTCACTGAATCTTGCTTTAGGTCGATGTGATCTAGTTCTTTCCCCTTTGTTTATGTCAACCAACCTGGCCGCCGTGACGTCAGCGGACGTCAGCAGCCATTAAATAAACTTACTTGGTCCCAGTTGTCTAATGTCGTGAAGAAGTTCATCGACGGCGTCTCTCGATCTCTCTATAACCGGTGTTGTAATATTAACCGGCAAATCTGTAGATCATAAACGTTAAGTTATCAAACAGTTTTCGTTCAAATTTTCGGTTTGTTCCTTTACATGTCCTAAGTAGCAACAGTTTGATATCAGCTGTATCCCGAAACCAAAACATGGGATAATACAACTTTCTCTGGATTTAAGAGAAATTTTAATCAATTATCACCGAGTTATAGCAAATTTTACATTTGATAATACAGATCATTACAGTCTGCAAATTGGGATGATAAAGTTTCTTTTTTTTTACGACTGGTTAATGTTGTATTGTTATTTTTTTTAATTGTACGATGTACGATCATGAACTTGTATTCTCGGAAACAGCGGAGTCGTTCTAAGCTTATTGGAACTAATTTACAATTCTTTCATCATAGGGGAAACAAATTCTTCTTCTTATCAAATAATTCAAGTTTTCAAAAACCTCTGAGAGTTTTTTTAGTATATATTAAATCTGCTTACATGACAATTCCTTTGTTATCATCCCAATGGTAAAGTTCATATTTTCTCCTGTTACTTCAGATAGCTCCTAGCAAAAGACAATTTAGAATACGTAACTCGCCTTTGTTGATTATGTACAGTTCAAACCCTTAGGAGAGGTATGATACAGCCATAAAAAAGTGTCCTCATGAACAAAAGTTCACCAAAATGCAAATAATTCGTATTGCGCTTACATGATGACAGGGTCATTTCATATCGCGTTTATATGAAGGTAAACTTCATGTTGATAAAATACACGAGCAATTCAATTACGCATGCGCTATCCGCTCAAGTCTACCGGCAGACCGATTTCACACCGAAACGAATGGTCGTTTGGCGTTTGCATGATACCGTTGCGAAATTTCGTACCGGAGTGATATTCTCGCTCCGTTACAACAACTGGGGTGAACTCACGCCAGTGTGACTCGCGCCGGTATAGCATTTTGTGTTGGTACCATGTAAACAAATACAGGGCCACTAAATATAGAGGGAACCGGAGTGAACTCGCGCCGGCCCGAAAGTCGCCCCGGTGTCATGTAGACACTCCTTGAAATACGTCCTATTGTGAAAACGGCAGACAAGCCAGTCAAATAAGAGGTTTTACTAAACGGAACCTGATTTCAAATCATGAACATAAGGCCCTCCCCACACGAATCCGGACATGTTTGAAAACGCATAGTTTGTTAACCGTATTCGTTTGGACGGGGCCCTGCGAACCACTCTGGAGAGCGGTTTCAAAGGATGCGGTTTCGGTGAGTAGATTCAGCAGTTTTGCGGGACGGAAGGTCGATTCGTGTAAAAGGTATGCGGTTGCAAGAAAATAGCAAAATCGCTTTCCACTGATCATGCCTCTCGGCAACTCGATCTGGTTTTCAGTTTCTGCCAAATGGTAAGCACCCCAGAAAATCGCTTCGCGGGTCTTGCTTAAATTCGCTTATTGCATTGCGCATCCTTACTGCGCATAGAATCACGCTTGATTAGCGCGCGCCCATCAAAAAATGACAGCTTTTACTATAAAAAGGGTGTTTCTCAAGGCACCTTCATTTTTTCCCTTTTTCTAAGAAGAACCTTTCTTTCTCGAGACAAAGAACAGTCAAAACCATAGGTAAAGTTGGACAAAAATCTCACTGCAGGTTCTATTTCAGAGGAATGACCTTAAACCCCAAGTGATACCAAGAAATTGTTGAGTAACCGATACTTTTCAGTCATTTTCCGGCATTACATCCTTGGCAAAACCTTAAATCAAAGGGCAGTCGATTTGGACACCCTAAGAGGTACTAATTCACAGATTTGACCCCTAAAAGGTAGGACGAGCATGGATGTGAAGAAATGTAAAATCAGAGGGACAAAAACTAGGGGAGCGTCATAGCTGTTTGGGCATAGCCGTGCCAATATCTCGTTTGTTGGCGAAATAAACAGCTAAACCTACCTTTAAAGTGTTTTCCTTGTAAATGATAACATCGACAATTGAGTTAATAAGCAAAGAATCTAAAGCGGGAACTGCTTTCTCTGTTTTATCGTTAACGAGACTGATTGAAAAGGCGGCAATCCTAAAAGAAAAGGATAAAGATATCTGTTATCATTTTAAGGTGGCTCGACTGGATTTTTTGGGGTTGATACCTCCCAACTTTGAGCATTAACTACGTCGGCATGAGTAAAGATATGGAAAAAAAGTTACCACAACTGTATTATATAAAGATGAAAATTTCTTATGATCTGGGTTTTCTTGCAATCGGAGTCGCCATGGCAACGTAATGACGCCATTACGTTTTTCATTTATCTTTGTGTTTCTCTGTTCCAGGAGCTTTTTGAAGAAATCGCTTTAGGGAGTATGTACCTGCTATAATTGCCTCCATTATGGCAAAGTTTGAACAAATTCTATGAGAGCGTTTTCGAAATATTTTGAAATGTAGTTTTAAGAATAATAAAAACAGTGAAATAGCATGCTAGCCACACAATTCGCTAATATTTTAAGAAAATGATAAGCTTTGGGAACGAGGCGTCATCTCATAGTGGTTTGATTCCACTGAAAACTGCATACAAAAAAAGAGGGGAATTGCTCTGGGCGATCGCGAGTAAGAAGAATTTTATTAACTTGCATTCAGCTGCTTTTGATACAGTTTCTGGTGATAATTTGGTCCAAGCCTAAAAATTTCGCATTTTTGCAAAAACCGCTCGATAAATTTTTTTATAAATTCGACAATCCCGAGATCAATTGTCAAGAAATATTCCCTGCAAGTTTCAAGAACATTGAAAATAGGGAAGGCTTTTAAATGGGGCCTCAAATATGACCAATTTTCCCCCCAGATTTTGTGTTTACAAGTGAGCGTCCTCATTATTCACTGGCATTGTTTTCAAGTTTCATATGCACGTGCACAACTAGCAAAAGATATAAATTTGCATCAAAAAGAACTCTCGATTACTTTCCAAAGAAATATCCGGAATATTCTAATAATTGGCTTTTCGTCACAGATAGCAGTGACAGCCGAAACGGTGAACGTCACGGCTCATCGTCTAGGATGGAATATTTAATTATCTTACTCGGGTTATAACATCACAGAAACTCTCACAAAGAGCTGCTCTGATGTTATAATGTATCATTAATCTCTTTACCCGGTAATTAGCATATCCCGGAGATTTAACCGAGGGTCCTTTTTGATGCAAATTCTATCTCTTTGCTAAATGTGCACGTGTATATGAAACTTGAAAACAATGCCAGTGAATAATGAGGACGCTCACTTGTAAACACAAAATCTGGGGGGAAAATTGGCTATATTTGAGGCCCTATTTAAAAGCCTTCCCTATTTTCAATGTTCTTAAAACTTGCAGGGAATATTTCTTGACAATTGATCTCGGGATTGTCGAATTTATAAAAAAATTTATCGAGCGGTTTTTGGAAAAATGCGAAATTTGTAGGCATGGACCAAATTACGTCCAAAACTGTATCAAAGGTAGCTAAATGCAAGTTAATAAAATTCTTCTTACTCGCGATCGCCCAGAGCAATTCCCCTCTTTTTTCGTATGCAGTTTTTAATGGAATCAAACCACTATGAGATGAAGCCTCGTTCCCAAAGCTTATCATTTTCTTAAAATATTAGCGAATTGTGTAGGTAGCATGCTATTTCACTGTTTTTATTATTCTTAAAACTACATTTCAAAATATTTCGAAAACGCTCTCATAGAATTTGTTCAAACTTTGCCATGGTGGAGGCAATTGTAGCAGGTACATACTCCCTAAAGCGATTTCTTCAAAAAACTCCTGGAACAGAGAAACACAAAGATAAATGAAAAACGTAATGGCGTCATTACGTTGCCATGGCGACTCCGATTGCAAAAAAACCCAGATCATAAGAAATTTTCATCTTTATATAATACAGTTGTGGTAACCTTTTTTCCATATCTTTACTCATGCCGACGTAGTTAATGCTCAAAGTTGGGAGTTATCAACCCCAAAAAATCCAGTCGAGCCACCTTATAGAAGGACAGCTTCCAGGAACTGTCACCCAGAGATGGTTCCTATCTTCTTTCAGGCCTTTTTTAATTAAATTCAAAAGCACCTTGAAACACACGCAAATTTTCTTCAAATCAGTGTTCAAGAATTACTTTCTTGTGAAGTCGTTGAAACCATTTTAGTAAACCCGTACTTTTGACCACTGAGCGAGAATAGGCTTGAATTTCCTTTTCTTTTAAGCGCGAATGAAGTCAACGTCTTTCTTTTTAGTCTCTTGCCAAGCTTAATTGATGTGGCGGTACACATGGTCGAAACCATTTACGATCTATGTCAGCCTTCAATGTTTACAACGACGTTTCCCGCCAAACCGGGCTCAAGTTTTTTCTTCCGCTCAGGCAATTTATCGCTGTGTAATGCACCTATCAATGTAAATCCCGTGGCGGGGGGAGTGCGGGCAAGGGGTGGGGATTTGATGCCTGAGACTATCCCCGCTGTCGGGCTTTTGATCGTGCGAAGCGACCCCGGGATCGGGACATTTGACTTTGACCGACAGAAGCCTGGTATTCCTCGTATCAATTCAGAAGCGGTTACCAGGTCCGTTCCTCGAGGCTTTCTGAAAGTCACGCTGTTGGAGAAAGGTCATGCTCGGAGACCCAGGGGCAGATAGTGGGGACGAAGGATAGTCTAAACGGGTGGAAAAATGTGGCGCGAAGAAAAGTAAAGAACGGCAAGAAGAGCCCCTGGGGACAATGTCTTACGAGACCAGTTCCAAACGGTCGTCGCCGTTCTGGCTTCTGATTAATGCCAGAAAAACACAAGTTTTCTGGCACCAATCAGAAGCCAGAACGGCGGCGACCGTTTGGAACTGGTCTGGTAAGACATTGTCCCCAGGGGCTCTTCTCGCCGTTCTTTACTTTTCTTCGTTCCATATATATTTTTCCGCCCGTTTAGACTTTCCCTCGCCCACTTTATCTGCCCCTGGGCCTCCGAGGATGGAGAAAGGTATGAAGTTTTCATTTGTTTTAATCGCCATAATCCGATACTTTAAACTGTCATCTAAACAGATAATGTCTATTTTAAGAAAGTTTGTATCTTCAAGTTCCCATCTGATTGTAAAACACGATTGAAATCGAATTCCACCATGAAAGTCAGAGGATTTTTTACGAGTCACTGATCCGACCTGTTCCGACAAGTTGACCAGATGTTATAAAGCATTTTACGTTTCATTAATATTATAATAGCAATGTTGTTCAAAATAAGAAATGCTAGTGGAGAGAGAAAATACTTAATTACAGCGAGTAACTTAACGGAGCTTACGTTAACCTTAAATAAAAGTAGTAAGAACGTACTTTTGAAATGTTCTTTTATTCGTTTTATATAGTATTATAGTATTGTTTGTTTAGATTTTTTCCCCTGGGGTGGGGGCTTTTTTGACACTTTTGATTGACCTTTCGTTTCCCACCCTGGGGAATTTGATCAAAAAATTTTAAAATTTGTCAAATCCCCACCCCTTGCCCGCACTCCCCCCCCCACGGGGTTTACATTGATAGGTGCATAACCCTTAACCGCAAACGTTTGCCATTTTGAGAGCTTTGGAATAAACGCAGCCGTCGCCGTAGTCGTTGCAAAAGCTCCATCTTTACAGAACGTGTGGTTTCTTATATATTTATTTATTTTATTAATTCATTTGTTTTACTTTGGAGGGATATGTTTAATTATACTCACATGATCAAAGCTGAGCAAACAGAAATTGCAGCCGTCAACAACTGCCGCTGTTTCTTGGGATTCGTTTCCAGGTCCTCCTCTATCAACTCTCCACCGCATTTGCCCTTACAACGGAAACAGCCGAATATGATACCGACCAGCGGTATTAGAAAGGCACTCACAACAGACAGGGAAGTGAGGAGAGTAAGAGGTAGATTTTCAGCAATGGCCTGTAAAGAAGAAATGACCACATGAAAACTGCAATTTGACACTGCACAGGCTATGGAGAGAACGGACACAAGCTTTCGGCGCGATGATTTCAGGAATCGTTTGAGTGGAAAAGCGTGAGTTAGAATTGGTCACCGTGCCTTTGGAAACGACTGACCTGCTACTGACCAATCATAACTAAAGTTCGTCCACCCAAACAATCCCAAAAATGACGAAAAAAATAGGGAATATAACGTGACCTCTACTCCAGTCACGGACTAAACTGAGGAAACATTTCATTGAAAGCCGAAGTGGATTGAATCACTTTCTCAATTATATAAGATGCTCTTTTTAAAATTTCCTTGAATTCTGGCATCATATATAGATGACAATGATACTCTGAGCGGTTCTCTTGCTAAATGAGGCTGAGCAACGGCAAGTTATTGAAATACTGTTCCCGCATTAAGATGAAATATCAACTATTAGGATGCAGACCAGAAGGCCTATTTAAAGTGTATTTAGAAGCACGGCCGAAGACTTGAACTTATAATTAGCTAGTAATGCTACCGGTCCAGCGCTCGGACTGCCCTGCCATGCTGCACCCGCAGATTTTAGGATTGCGAACCGCACTGGGTAGAATAGATCAGTCATTGGAGAGCTTGACTGCAGAATGGGAATCCCCGGGGCCTGGCCAATACTCAGTGTCTTAAAAATAACAAAAAATGAAGGTGCTTCTTTGCACTGCCTTGGCGTGGCTCCGATAACCAGGTAAAATGGTATTCCGGTCTCCAGTAGGAAATAAGGCGGTGTAAAAATAGTATCCTCAATAAGCACTATCGTGGTAAAATGAAGTACGTTTTTTAGAGGTCCCGCTTTTGATTACATAGTTACAAACAACTCTAAAGAGAAGGACTGTTCGGAAATCTCAAAAGTTTTTTTTGTTTTGTCTAGTATAGCCGACGGAACCACAGGCAAAAACGCCCATTAATCCATGGATGTAACAGCTAACTCATATATTACAATCGACTCCCTTAACATCAAAATTCAGCACTCTCTATACCTCTCTCGCTATAAAACCAGCAGTGAAGTTGACCTTTCCGTCAAAAATTCTTATTCCATCTTTAATGGCACCTGCAAAATGAAAAAAAATAAATTGTTTGGGGAAAAGGAAAATGTGAAGCTGAGCGTGATTAAGGGATCCGGGTCCTCACTTTGGTTCTAAGCAAAGCTTTATACGACAGGGTTCATTTGATGTAATCCAGAGAAACTATCGTACTACACGTATGGGGTTACTTGTCGTCTTGCTTAGGGGTGTACGATTTTAAATTTACACCCTCCAGGTTTCGCGTTTTTAATTTAAAAATTAAATATTTTGGTCTCGCAAGGGGTGTTGAGAAATTTTACCCATAAAGGTACCGCTTAAAGTCTGCCGGAGAGTAGTGTGTAAAGAAATATATACGTAGAAAAGGAAAGATGTCGTATCAGGATGAACGCAAATTCAGTTTCAGAATCGTTGCACTACTCTTCATTGGTTCCGGGAAGTGGTTGCGGTTGCCTGTCTCGATATAGTTTCCTTTAGCGGTTAAATGAAGCTGAAACAAAGCCCAGTTTTATCTCTTTTTGGGGTTTAATACCTATTTTTCGGCGAACATTCCTGTACCTTTTTACGGGAGTCACCTCTCCCTAGGTGTGAGCTATAACCTAGTTATCGGTGGTCGTTGGTCTGTTCTTAGCACCATCTGTTCATTTAAGCTTTCAACGACCCTTAACTGGGCAAAGTGATTGTAACTATTTATTTACATATCTTAAATTTAAAAAAGTTCCGAGCCAGGATTAAGTGTCACTGAAATGAACACTAGTAGACTAAATGGTCAACTCAAAAAACAATGGCTACTACTTGATCAGTTATGCCCTAACACAGTAGGTAACTTCATTGAATTTCAAGCGAGCGATAAATGTTTATCAATTGGCGAAACAGGCTATAAGTGAATCTGGTAACTTAAATGCAGCTATTGCGATAATTTAATTGAGTCATATATTAATTTCTCGTAGCGGTCCACGGTCTTCCTATTATAGCTTTCATATCAAAAGACTCTTTGTCATTCGTCAGAAAAAGCTGCCTTTCTTTGTTTAGCCACGTATCTTCAAGAGACTAAAAAGTACAAAGAAAGTTTTATTTATACAATGAAAAGTCTTTTTGTAGAACAGACAGGTACCGGTTAAAGAACAAAGGTTAACGGGTTAGTCCTTTTAACAAACGAAATCGTAACTCAACATGAATTACTGATTTTTCCATCCCTAATTTCTGATACTTCACTGATTTTGTTGTCCAAAAATTTTAAAAAATTGCAGTGTTTATGTAAAATAGTTAAAGATATGAAAGAAATAAAAAGAGGAAAATGATTATTGATGATTTTCTTTTTCACTGAAAGCGCCTTCAAAAAAAATGTGTGCTCTAAATAATTGACAAAGGTAGATATAGCAAATCATAGCCATATAAAATTGAAGTTTCTTATACCTCCTTATGAAGAGAAATAAGTATTTCCCTCGTATATTTGATCAAAACGGGAAACTAAGAAACGTTTATGGGTTTAAAAAGGAAAAAAACTAGTGATAGAAATTCGAACTGACTTTCAAAAAACTTAAACCATTCCAAGTCGACGATTCCAGTTTTAAATTTGATCGAAGAAATGAGTTTTATTAGTAGTGTTCTCATTAAAGTCGAGTTAAATGTTTTCGATAAAAGCGCAGAGCAATTTATAAACTTTAAAGATAATGCGCGTTAAATTCATAGTTTATTACACACATGAATGGTTCCGTCACACTCATCACGAACTTTAACATCGCACTGCACAGCCGATTGCACATCGTGAAATTATATTTAGTAACGTTCTTTCATTCAAGCAATCGATAATTGTACAATTACATTATATCTGCTCAAGGATGCAAGTTAAAAACGTCAATGAAAGACTCGATGGATGTATACAATTCCGGGTTAATTGCAAGATAAAATAATGAGAACTTACCGTAAGGCGGAGAAGAATTTAAGGACAAAACCACGGCTTCTGCAATCGCATCAAAGCTGGCCACAAACCAGTCCCTCTTAGCTTTCTCCAAGGTATAGTTACTTCCTCTGCGGAGTGGAGAAAAAATAATTTTATCTCCACTAAGTGTACCTGCCGTATCAACCAAGGTGATAGTCGCGATATAGCACAGTATGAGAACTGAGATAAAATTCTTCTCCCTCAGAAAGGAGATCATTTTAACGGGACGCTGTTAAAGCATTTAAGCCGTCTGTTGCTTTCAAAGATTTCACAAATAAGGTGAAAATTGCGGTAGAGAAAAGGTTGATGGCGGGTGCATTGTAGCTGCAATCAAAACAAAACATGTTCGTTATATTTACCCGCGTTCGTCGACAAAGAGAAGTGACGTCACAAAGCTAAACTGCTCGCGCGCGCGCCAGGTATCTCGGATCAAAGAAATGCGCGCGAAATCATGTCCTTACCAGAGCCCCTCGGTTTTCTAACTCACTAGGTACTCAGCCGAGCAAACGATTTATGCTCGATATGAAATAAGGACTCAGGTCGATTGTATCAGATGAATTACAAAGTGTGACTGAAAAATGATTTCCCTTTGCTTGTAATCACAATTAGTTCGTAGCAGCAAACTAAGCACAACTTTTCTCAATTGAACAGGATATTGCTTTTTGCTAAAAACGATAAGTTATTAATTTGAGTTCCCATGAATTGTTTGAATCAAAGGTTCTCAAGCTGCTGCCGATTATATGAACATGATAGTGTCCAACAAGAAAGCTCTTGCTACTTTGGACACTGTACACAACTGAACTTAATGCCTTTTAGTTTAATGATTATTTATCAGCCACTTTGTTCTCCTACTTACGTACACTTTTGTAAATGCCTTATACAGTGTGAAATAAAAGAAATATTGAAAAAAACAAGCACAATTTTGTCACTTTTGTTCTCAGGTTTAGAACTCAACGGCGTCGTACTCAGAAGTATATATTCTATTTCAAAAAAAGGGTTAAGCCATTCTGACAATTTTGTAATAATTAGCCGTTTCCCGTAGTGGACTTCACATCTGACACCCGGTAGAAACAAGGAAAAGTTCCAATTCCCTCCCACTCCACCTCCTCCCTCCCTCTTCTTCATTTGTTGTCATTGTTGTTATTGGGAACACTTGCTACTGACGCAGGCCAAGTAAAATGGTATTACAGCCTGTTTTTTGCTTAATTCTTTTTACATTCCGCGAAAACAAATGGATAAAATTAAAGAAATAACGGCGATAATAAACTAATCAATATTTCCTTCCATAAACTTCCATCTTCAGCGGGGTAACTTTTCATACACGAACATCGCTGTACCAGTAAAAGATAAATAGACTCCTGTAGTAGCTAAGTTACGCGATGAGTGGATCTGTTACATTGGGAGGTTTCCACAGTGGAAAAGTATAAATAAATGTTGGTCAATTATCCGTCATGTTGTGGTATGGATATTGTTTAGTGACTTTTCAATCATTTGTATTACGTCATTTGGTGATCGTATTCAGTTTCGTTTTATCCGCGTTAGTTTCTTACATCTTTTTGGTGCAAGGCGACGCGAGGGGTATCAAAGGAAATTTTCCTTCCTTTCTGTTTTCTCTTTTTTTCTTTTCTTCTTCTTTCCATTTTTTTTGTGTGTTACTCGACACACTTTCAAGTATTTTCGCCAGTATTTTTCGTTAACTTGACATCCGTGTGGTTTGTGATTGATTAAGCATTCAGAAATAAATTATTAATTGAGCAAAATAAGATAGATTTACCTCCCGAGTTAGCAATCTAAATTAAAGTAAGGAAATTAATCAACAAAAGCCAACCATAAAGATACGTTTATTTGATGTCAGATTATGTCCAAAACAATTTCCTTTTTGACACTACATGACACTGCGTCAATAGCGAGTCATTTTCGAACCAATCGTCAAACATTTATGTTAATGCCACAATTAAAATAAGCTGAGTTTTAGTTTTTATGAATAACTTATAAATGGTTCCAGCGCCTAACGGCTGTGAAATAGCGAAAACCGTTAATCGGTTTTTTCCACCCTGCAAAGTGGCTTAGTGCAAAAGAAGTAACTGCACTGGAAGTGAATTCAACCGTTTTAATATATTTTCAACGCACAAGTGTTAAGAACACCTTTAAAGGTAAGCGCTGGAGTTTAAAGTTTCAAAACCTTCGGACATGCTTTGTCACTGTCAGACTGTAATGCAAATTAAGAAGATTATTCCTTTCTTAAACAGATAAAAAAATTTCCCGATTTTCCAGTGTGAGGCCGATAAAATTTAGTGCCAGGCTATGCTTTAGGTTGAGAAAATAAATTCATAAACGACCTTCACAACAGTCATATTGTATGATATTCAGCAACTTATTTCAAAAACGCTAGACCTGAATTTTTAATTATTTACAGTTAGGTATATTTCGCCAGGGTTATTTGCACTAACATCGCATTTGGGATTGACTTGATCTTATGCTGCCTTGTCGAAATGAAGTGGGTCTGGTTTTATGGACAAGTTTGAAAAGAATTTAAGAAATCGCGATCAGAAAAAAGTAATGGATTTACGGTAATTGGCTATTTTTTGTTCTTACAAAAGCCTAAATCCCTTCTGTTTTTAACAGCAAATAGCTTTCAGTGTGATATCCCGGTCAGTTTGAGTACAAAAATGCACTTACATTTTTTTTCCTGATTTTTTGGAACTGTTCTACAGGGAATGAGATCAGATCGTACTTTGCAAGTGAGTTTTTTTTTCACTGACGCATCACGTTGATCATACGTACTTGAATATTAATTTAGACGGCCAGTTTATCTGTTTAGGGTTTTTAAGATCAATCTGTAACTGTTTTTTGCTGGGGGGAAACTTTCGCATCTTCAAATCTCTTGCGGAAAGTTTTTCTAGAACAGGATAAATATGAAAAAGCGATAAGTTTCTTCATTGAGTGTTGACTATCTTGTATAATTAAAGTGTCTATTTCTTGTTCGGGAAATTAAGCTTATGTATGTTAACGACCGTTCCTATGGTAACATCACGCTTACAAGTAATATTTTACTTCCCTTGTTTTCCCGTTAAACTTGACGAATGAGCCATTATAAATCGACGCTTACTTTGCCTTTTACTTTAATTTTTATAAGGGAGTCATAAATGAAAAAAAAAACGAATTCCCTAAGGGCAAATCAGAAATTTTCAAGGCGAAAGGAGAAATAAGGAGGACGCGCGCTCACCAGGGGAGAAATTAGATGGAGAGAGAAGACTTCCTCTTCCCCTTCCTAACCAAAAAGACTAACCGGCGCCTGCCACGCTGGCTATGGCGAAGGTTCTGTCAAATTTTCCTAAAGCGCATGCCGGTGAGGACTCAGGGGAATACTACAATAGTGGGAGCTCTCCTAGCGGACACTCTGTTAAGCGGACAGCTCTACACGCGCGTACAGCCGCCTTCACAAAACCCCGTTTTCTCATCTGACAACATACAAACTCTGTATTTTTACATTCCCGTAAGCGGCTACTTCCACTTACGGACGCCCCGAAGGTGTTCTCTTACGACAGCTTCCACTGTATATTCACCGATCAACTAAACACATTCAGTAAAGCGGGCTCAAGCACGTAGAGAACACACGCGAGTCTAACAATTATTGAATGACGCTGAGTATCATGTGAAGAATCATGCAGACATGCAGATCGAAGCAGGAGTTGCTTTTATCCACCGAGCCGCAACCCTCTGCAATTTCATCTTCGCATAGCCTTGAACTCTTTCGCCATTTCCTCGAGTTTTGCGCCAACAGTCATTCCGGAAACAGCTAATCTGCCGCGCCGCTGTCTTGCGTGGCGTCAATGGAGGATAATTTGTATACGATCATTGACGTGTAGCTGGATGAGGTCAGTAATTGTATAATCTGAACACGTTCCAATTTGGACAGTGCTAGCTGGTTAAGAAAAGTTACACAGGGAATTAAAGGCCATTTGTATTTTTCTATTTGCATTAACGCAATTTGTGACGACACGTGAGTGATCACGTGAGCCACTGAACGCGCATTAAAGTCAAATCTGGGCAACAGCAGTCTGAGCTCTGGTTCCCAGCCTTTATTTTTTCAACGGTTCACGCGCGCATAAATTACTATCTGGTAAACGAAGCCATTCGCGTTGTAGACAGAGGATGGCGCGCGATGATGCCAATCCACATTTGTTTGGTCCACTAGTCGCAATTACATGAAACCTCGGGAGCCATAAGAGGGAGTTTAAGCAACCACTACGGCGAAAAACCAACAACTCTGCTCGTGCATACTCCTCTTGGTACATTTCTTTGCCATCACTGACGGCAGCGACGCGAAATTTCATTTTTCTTTCTTCTTTTCTCTACTTGGATACGGTCCTTAGGAATTGAAATTCACCAAAAAATATGCTTACTTTTGGCCAGCTGAGTAAGACGCAATGACGAATACGAATACGCCTTCCATCTACACGAAACCAGTGAATCCGGACTCTGTAACCGTATTGCTTTAAGATCGCTCTCTAGACCGGTTTAAGGCTCCGTCCAAACAAATCAGGATAAAAAAATATACGGTCTCAAAAATGTTGGTTGTCCCGATTATTAGACTTAAGCTCCCGATTGTGTTGACACTAATACGATTAAAAAGGATTTGTCAAAACCTGAGGCCTTTCAAAGGCCCAAGCCAAAACAAGTGTTTTTGAAATTGCATCGGATGTTTACTCCCGTAATTCCATTCTGCAAAAAAAAAACGTCCAGAATGCGTCAGATGTGCATCACCAATTTGTCACCCCTCCATATGCACTCACGTGCATGTGACCAGCTTCTTTACAAATTCATGTGAACAAAAGAAAGCGTTTACATGAGGAAAGACCCGGGAGAAAAGAGTTCAACCCCCATTATAGGTTTTGAACATCAAAATGATCGCCGGCTAGTTTTGTTTTGGAACACCAATATGACCGTCGTGACGTCATATGAAGACACTTCATATAGGTAAACTCCTTCTCGTGAAAAACTAAGAGATAACCTGAGTTTTCAAACTAAGGACTTAAGATCGGTGCTCAATAGCAGCTAAATCGTATATGAGTTACTGACTTATTTTGCTATGACGTAAAGCGAAGTTTTTCGTGCGATCAAATATAGCAAATTTCACGGTGTTCAACAAAATATTGGCTCTTTGGATTAAACATATATATTCGAAACATCCGAACAACAACACTTGAAATCATTATTGAATCAATACAGAAAAACCCACAAGTAAGAACCTTCCTTTTTTCCCAAGTTAGCCTTAAAAGGCTCTTACATAAATAGTAATAAGTGCAAAGTCAGGCTATTTAGATTCTCAGGCTCTTATTTTCTGAAGAAAAAAAAAATAAAGGTAGATAATTAACAATCATTGGACGAGGTTGAGCAAAATATCGTGATTTATCTGTGGAGAGCAGATCAATTATTTGCCGAAGCCGAAGGCTGAGGCAAATAATTGACCTGCGAGACACTGACAAATCACGATATTTTGCGTTTTTAGTGTTTAATTAATTCAGTGGGTTTCGGGTGGGTGTAGCTTTGTGCATTCACGGATATATCATTGTTATTTGTTTTCATACATTTATGATCTTTTTAAGTTATTTTTTATTCAAATGCATTGTATCCTTATTGACTTAGTATTTTTATTGTCATGCGTTTTATACATGAGCCACTGGCTCGGATGATCGGGGCAACCCCATCCCACGAATTGACGTTAATAAATTGATTGATTGATTGATAATCGAGTTCAATAATTGTTTTATCATTCGATCACCGAGTTTGTTTTTTTAATGAATATCCTCGGGAAGCGAGGCGATCTGCCATTTTCACGCAAGAGCGATCGCAAGAAGGAGAAAAGAAAGGTTTCCTTTACGCATGTGCAGAATATTATTTGCAACACGAAACAAGCACAGTTGGACGGCATTGCGCATGAGCAGACCATTATTTGTAGCGCTACTTAAGCGCTCCTGTTTGTAGGCAGTTATTTGCAAGTCACGGGGTGGGCTTTCGGCCAATGAAAATAGTGCTTCGAATGATAATAGTATTTACGTGTAGTGGTATTCAGCTAATTCCTTAGCCGGTTAGGTAAGTGAACATTCAGGATCCTCTTTGGTGACACTCCAACTGCAATGTATATTTTTCAGAGATTTTAGAGAATAATTACCTGTTTCAAATTTTAGGCCAAACAGGTTCTTGTATAGAGGGGACATAACTGGCAAATTTTAGCCTAACAGGTTCTTGAAAGCCAGATTCTTCCTCCCCAGTTTTCACTATCTTTGCATTTATCCTGCAGTGTACAAAATCAATCGACCCGTCATGGACGCCACGGCGTTGTTCTTTCTAGACTTTGCACCTTGATTGGACACCTCAGTCGCCCTGATATGCCGGTCAACATAGTTAGAAGAGGAGACTGGTTATGAAAGCTGGCGAGATGAAAAAACAGTGTGCAACAGTTTATGCCCGGGGGGCACTTGGGTGTTTTTTGGGTGGGTATGTGCCGCCCGGGACTCCAAATTGGCACCCCGTTCTAAAAAAAAACTTCCCCTAAAATTGATACCCCGTTCTAGAAATGGGCCTATTTTCTATACCCCGTTCTAGAAATGGGCCAATTTTTTATACTCCGTTGTAGGGTGCAACAAGAGTACAACAGTTTGCTTGTTAACGCACTGAACCGTATTTTTAAAAGCAATCTGTCCTTGAATAATTTCAAATTTGCTGCCTACAAAACTGAACTTTCGTGTTTTCGAAATATTATACCCCGTTATAGAAAACGCCTCTGAAATGGATACCCCGTTCTAAATCATGAGCTTCAAAATCACGACCCCGTTGGGCGGCACATACCCGTATAGGTAATGTATGGGAGTAACCCCACCGGGAGTTTATGTTGGGAACTCCTTACATGTAACTGTGCACAGCCCTTTGTTTTTTGTTCAGAAATTGCGACTTTTGCTCAATAAGTTTAAAATGATAGAAATCCAAAACAGTTAACAAAACCATACAAAAAAGAAGTTTGATTCACACGCTTCATAACTACAGTCGACTCCTGATAACTCGAACCTTCAAGGGAAATCGAAAAAGGTTCGAGTTATCGGGAGTTCGAGTTATCGGGAGCTGGAAGAAAAAAGCCGGGAGTAAGGAAAAAAACAGTTTTTACTGAACAGTGAGTATTCTAAGCACATCTAATTGTAAATGCCCCTCCAATAATTGTAAAGTTCTGTCGTCGTAATGTCCGTGACCGTTTGTTGAGCAGAAAGAGAGAGATAAGGAGTAAGACAGCTATGGATCTTGGTTTTACCGAAGAGTTTGACTTGTATATCAACGAGAGCTTGACACAGAAGAACCGCGAGCTTTTGGCTAAGGTTAAAGAGTTCAAGAGGGTAAATCACTTCAAGTTTGCCTGGACAAAGAATGGCAAAGTTTTGTTGCGTAAAGATGATAACCCAGCATCCCAAGTCTATTCTTTTATGTCTATGGCAAATTTTGAGGAGTTCAAGAACTCAAGACAAAGCTAAGTATCGGGCTATATACATTGACAGTTAATTATTAGCCAGTGAAGCCAAATGGCTTCTGACTCTGAGCTCCCTGAGCCTGAGCTCCCTTTTTCTCATTTAGGCAATAACGATTTTAATATTGCTTTATATGAAATGACACATGGACCTCTACATTATGATAACGAACGATTAAGCTCTCTTTTGTACAACCCAATTGATAATTCGTCTGTCTCTAATCAGTTTTTCTTTAATGAGTTAGATCCAGATCAACAGTTTACTTTTTCTCCTCCTCCTAGTAATTATTATACTGAGGATGAAATTAATGCTAAGCTAACTAATAGTTCAAATTCTCCTCGCTTCTCTGTATTTCATATTAATACACGAAGCCTAATCGGTCATTTAGATAAATTTAAATTCCTGCTTAGTCATTTGCAAAATCCATTTTCTGCCATATGCGTATCGGAAACCTGGCTAACTGAGCTTACGTCGGACCAGGTGGAAATACCTGGATATAAATTTATTTCGAACCACCGCGATAGCAAGTCCGCCGGTGGAGCAGGTCTTTATTTACTTGACGATTTAGAATACAAATTATGCCGCGATTGTAATTATTCTGAACCTGAAGTGATCGAAACTCTTTTGTTGAAATTAACATTCCCAATGGGAAAAATATTATAGTTGGTACTGTTTATCGTCCGCCTAATTATAACACTCAGGACTTTTTGGAAAAATTTAATGAGATTCTTGCTAAAATAACTAGAAATGACAAATATTGTTATTTGGGTGGAGACTACAATATAGATCTGTTTCACTATTCCGATCATGCCCCTACTCAAGAATTTGTTGATAGTCTATTTTCCCATATGTTCATTCCTCTAATCAATAGACCGACTCGGATCACTGCTCATTCGGCCACACTTATTGATAATATATTCACGAATAATGTAAGGTGTAAACATTTCAATGGTATTGTTATTAATGATATTTCTGACCATCTACCGGTTTTTGTTTATGAAGTGGATGAGACAGAAATAGCGTCGAAAAATAGCCAAACTAAATATCTCACTAAAAGAGATTTTTCAGAAAGAAATAAGAGCAATTTTCGGCTCTCTCTTTCTCGTGTTAATTGGAATTTACGTTTCGATGAAAGCGATACTAATGAATGTTATAATAGTTTTGTGAGTGAGTATGTTCGATTATACAATGAAAGCTTTCCATTAAAAACGATAAAACTTAAAACAAAGAAAGTAATGCGCTCCCCTTGGATAACGCAATCTCTGCTTGTTTCTATCAGGAAAAAAGATAAACTCTATAAGCAGTTCATTAATTCTAGGGACTCAACTACTGAGTTAAAATACAAACGCTATCGGAACAAACTGAATCATCTTATAAAAATTGCTAAACGAAAGTACTATGATACAAAATTTGAGAAGGCTAAAAATAACCTGAAAGAAACTTGGAAACTAATCAATGATGTAATCAACAAACCGAGCAGAAAAGCAGCTCTGCCAAATTCCTTTTTCTCTGATGGAAAACTGTTAAATGATCCACAAGAAATAGCTAATTGCTTTTGTAAGTTCTTCACCAACATAGGTCCGAATTTAGCAAGGAAAATTCCAGACACACAAGTATCTTTTCGTAGTTTTCTTGGCGTTTCTGTTAATGAGTCGCTTATCTTAAATCCAACTAATATTTCGGAACTAAATCAAATATGCAACTCTTTTAAATCTGGAAAGTCGCCTGGATATGATAACGTTTCAATGGATATAATAAAAAGCACCTTTGATCTCATTTCTCAGCCTTTGGCCAATGTAATCAATTTGTCTCTTATTAAAGGAGTATTTCCTGATGAATTGAAAATTGCTAAACTGATTCCGGTATTTAAAGCTGGTGATTCCCAGTATTTCACTAACTACCGTCCAATTTCGCTTCTTTTTCTAATTTTTCTAAATTCTTTGAAAGAGTTATGCACAATCGTATTACAAATTTTTTAGATCGTTTAGATATCTTATACTGTTGCCAATTTGGATTTCGTAAAAATATTCTACAGCGCTGTCTTTAATTCATCTTATTAATAAAATTGCAACTGCTATTGACAGAAGCGAATATACAGTTGGCATATTCTTAGACTTATCAAAAGCATTTGATACTTTAGACCATCAAATACTCTTGTCTAAGCTTGAGCATTATGGGATTCATGGGCTAGCACTTAGCTGGTTGAAAAGCTATTTGTCAAATCGCGTGCAGTTCGTCCAGTACAAAGAGACTTGTTCTATTAGGCTGACTCTGAGCTGTGGAGTCCCTCAAGGTTCTATATTAGGACCATTATTGTTTGTTTTGTATATCAATGACCTCCCTTGTGCTACTCGTCTTGCTGAAACTATGCTTTTTGCAGATGATACTAGTGTGTTTTATTCTAATCCCGATTTAAATTGTGCTATTTCTGCCGTAAATAATGATTTATCTCAAATTGATCTTTTTATGAAAGCAAATAAGCTCTCTGTTAACATAACGAAAACTAATTATATCATTTTTTGCAGCAAGGCAAAAACCAGTCGGCTTCCCAATAAATCCTGTCTTGTACGATGAGGTTTTATTAAAACAAGTAAAGGTAGTTAAATTTTTTAGGGTTTTTATCGACGAGCATCTAACGTGGAAGCCGCATATTACTTATATATGTAAGAAAATTTCAAAATCTATTGGCGTCATGTTTAGGTCTCGTTTCTTTCTTTCTGAAACAACAAAAAGTCTCTTTATTATACCTTAATTTATCCTTATTTAACATATTGTACCACAGTTTGGTCCTCCACTTATGTAACAAACCTTAATAGAATTTTTTCTTCTACAAAAGCGAGCAGTACGAATTATTACAAATGCAGATTTTCGCGCGTACTCTGAACCATTATTTTTCCGTTTAAAGATTTTGGACATATACAACATTAATTCATTCTATACTGCACAATTTATGTTTTCATATTATCATCAATTACTGCCACCGCTTTTTTTTTCGAACCTTTTTGTTACTAGTAGCAATATTCATAATTATAATACTAGAAGTTCCTCGCATTTCCGTTCTCATGCCTGCCGAACTAACACCAAACAATTTTCTATTTTGTTCCAAGGCCCAAAAATTTGGAATTCTTTACCAAACTCAGTCACTTCGATTTTTACATTGCAATCGTTTAAAACGAAAGTTTTTGATTTTCTACTATATCGATAATGCGTCTTGTACTGTCCGTTGTTGTGTGTTGTTATAGTTCTATTGCTTAATATTATTGTAACGAGGGGGCCTCCTCGTACAAGCCTTGTGGTTTTCTGAGGTCCCCTCGCCACATCTTTGTATAATGTAATGCTTGTGTAATCTTTATTGTGGGAAAATAATAAATAAATAAATAAATAAATAAATAAAAATGTTGAGTGAAAATTGCAAGATACTGTTAGATTATAAATCAGAACGTAAAGTAACAAAACGTTGCCTAAATGGAGCATGCATTTTACTTTTTGAGAAGTAAAGCTACTTCACGTTAGATTTGGGGCAAACAACATTCGCCTCCACTATCGATCCACTAGTAAACTATATGCCTACAACACGTCAATGGGAAATTCAAAATTCAATGTTTCGGAGGCAGTACACTCTTTTTTCCCGACTTTTTAAGGGCTAAAAACATGGTTCGAGTTTTCGAGGGTAAAATTATATAGAAATGATCTGAGGGGAAACAAAAATTACTTCAAGTTAGCGGGAGTTTCGAGTTATCGAGGGTTCGAGTTACCGAGGGTAAAATTACAGTAAATGTATGACGGAAATCCGGGGGAAATCGATTTTGGTTCGAGTTAGCGCGAGGTTCGAGTTAGCGAGGGTTCGAGTTATCGGGAGTCAACTGTATTGTACTTTATCAGCCATGCGGTATCATACCTGTACAGTCAGTCTTGCTTTTTCGAGTTCACTCGTGTGAACATGAAAGAAATCCACTTGGTGTGAACACAACTTCATCGCATTGCGCTATTTCACAATACTCATAGCTAACGGCGCTTTCCAAAAGTCGGAACTGGCCGGCCGGACCATGGCCGGACAATGGCTGGACCAGACATTTTAGCAATGAAATAGGCTTTTTCTAAGAGGTTTTGCTGAAAAACCATCTCCTTTGTACCTAATATTTAGGTTTTGAACGATCTGGATGGTTAGGTTTGATTAAAAGTGAAATTCTTATTACGATGGGAATGGGCTGGCTAGTCAGTTCTGACAAATAGCAAGCGCCCTAAGACTGAAGAGTACTTGAACTGGACTTTGGGTAGTCTGAGATCTTAGCCGCCCGCTTCCTCTTAACCCACAGACTAGCCGCTCACGTTTGGATATTTCTGAGATTTGCCGTCTCGATAACTTCCTCAAAATTGTGGATAATTCTACATGTTTCTTAATATGAATGACTTTACCTTATTCTTCATATCATAGTGTTAGAATTTGTTTCCTCGTTTTGACCAAAAGTAAGAACCAAAACATTTAGCGTACCGTATTTATTCGAATAAGCGCCCAACCTCGAATTAGCGCCCACCTCGAATAAGCGCCCATCCTAAAGGCAGAAAAAGTTAATAAGCGCCCAGCCTCGAATAAGCGCCCACCCCACCCTACCCCCTTGTCCCTCGCACCCCCCCAAAATTGAATAAGTACTAATAAGAGACTTCCCCGAAGACGGAGTTTCCTTCAGAGTATTTTACAGAAACCTTGCTTTGTTACATCTTCGCGTTTTGTTTTTACTATTTACTGTTTTGTTGCAAAATAAACATACTGCACTTGCTGAAGTGTTGAAAATTTAATAAGCGCCCAGCCTCGAATAAGCGCCCACCTCGAATAAGCGCCCACTCTCAAGGTACAAAAATTTAATAAGCGCCCAGGGCGGTTAATCGAATAAATACGGTATACAGATTTGGATTCAGTTGCATCTTTCGTTATTAATAACTGAAAGTACTCAACTTAATTTCCGGTTCGGGTTTCTTCGTTGCGTCACGTTCACTGCGAATACAAGTCGTTTCTAAGCAGCACAGCTGCAGATCTTCTCTGCGCAACAGTTCACCCTCGGCTTCACCTAAATACCTAAAGATCCCCGGCCTTCACGCATCAATATAAATGACTTTTAGCTTTTTATTTGCCGGTGGAATAAATTTTTAATAAATATCTTTTGCAAGATAGAATAATCTATAATAATAATAATTATAATCTCTCTTGCTTTTGGAGTAAGCTCGGCAGGCCCAGAGGCAGTACGATAATAAGTAGGCGAGTCATTTGCGGAAGTATTGTCTCCCCTTCTTTTTTTTTTTTTTACCGCACTTACTCGTGTAAAGGTGGCGCGCGATTGCGCAAGTCATCATCAAAATTAGTCACGGACACGCGCACATCCGCAAATATTGGACAAGTTGTTTTTACACTTGAGTATGTTTTTCGTTTTCTCTAGATCTGACTTATGTACAACAGTGAGTTCTTCATGAAGTTAACTTGCAAATATAGCCATGTTCTCACCCGGCCGATTTGAATCATACAGTGACCCGTACATGCAGGCCCATGCTTAAACGGGAAAGTACATCCATAAGCTTCAACAAATAATTCAAAAACTTCAAGCATTTTTTACATTATTTTCAATGTTGCACTTAGTTTTGAACATAGTTTCAGACATATAGGACCGGTTGTAAACAAAATTCCCAAAAATGTTCCGTTTCGCTGCACAATACCAAAAAATGTCAAACTCCCACTAGGTGACTAACAAAATATTACATTTAAAAGGCCATTTTCCCGTCGTGCTATAGACAATAGTTCACATGCAATAGCTCCCTGGGAATGTCGGAACTAATCAGTATATCTTTTGCTACTTTTAAAAATTCTCTGTGAAAACAATGGCGTCTCATGGACAAAACACAAAAATGTACGGCATTCCCTCATATTATAATCCCTTGCGCTAGTACCAGCAGAGTCGCTTCGATCTTTCTTAGATAAGTCCTCTTCCCGACTTACCTAGCAAGATCCAAGGAGACTCTGTTCGCAGGGTACTGCGCTAGTCGTCCTAAAGTTGTCCTTCTGCCTCCACAAAGAAACTAAAACGTCAGAAAGGCCAAAACGGGAAGGGGGAGCGGGAAGGGCCGATCAGCGAACGAGAAAATTTCTCTGGAATATGTATACCAATCAAATACTTTTTCGCTTTTTCACATGAACGCCATATAGTTTTTTATATATTTTTCTTTAAACTTGATGCTATATTTGATGGATTTTGAAGGGGTTGGTGTGTTGCTTGAGATTACCAAAGAAACTGACTTTTGTTTACTCGGAAAGACGTAGAGGTTGGTTTTGAGAAATGACGTAAGGAGTGACGTGAAGTCGGGAGAATATTCATTTCAATCTAACATACAGGCTCTCACACGCTTACTTCGAACGGAAGAAAAGCTTATATTTAGTACAGTTTCGCAGTTCGAAGGTTTCGTAACCTTCGTGTTTTTAAAGCCAATACGTGTCACCATTTTATATTTTTTACAGAGTGAAGAAATACTTCTGAGCAACTAAATTTGGTCCGAGGACCGTGGTGGAAGAGCTGTAATTCAACGCACTGTCAATCCGCTCTTTCTCGGCATTCCACATCCGTCAGAAGAGACAGAAGTTTCCCGCTTATGTCTTCAAGTTAAAACAAGAGTGCGTCGAGTTGATACCACTAAAATTGTTCAGAAGAAACTTGTTCTTGGATATTAAGCAACGAAACTAAGTGTCGTGAATCACTAAATCAACATCAGGTCTCGCAGTCGAACAAGTAAATAAAGGATGTCATCCATGTCTTCGGCTGCACTTTCAACATCCATTTTACTTTTATTAATCTGCTTTGTGGGTCACGGGAGCTGTGGAAGTCCTACGGAAAATAACGGTACTATAACCTGGAATGATGATTTTCAGGAGAAGAACGAGGGATCTGGACTGAATACAGAGTACGACGCCAAAGGCCTTCAACCCTGGTATAATTTTGTTAACTCGTTTATTTCAACAGTGCTCAACAAGGACCCTTACGGTGAGTTTTCAGTTTAATTTTGTTCTTCCGAATTGATACATGCTTTTAAAGGTTTTAAGGAATGGTTTTACCGACGAGAAGAAACTAATGTCGGTTACTCATTCGGCTAGCGTCTCGCTAGCCACTATGTTCTTGACAAACTTGATCTGAGTTCTGCGCAAAACTATTGCTTAGATGTGACGGTAAATGCGTCGCATTTATTATTTAACATGTTTAATGTTCCTAGAATCCAACACAGTTTTTCTTCACAATATGTGACTTCTAAATATGATACTAAAAGTAAACATACCAAGGTTATATTAGATTCAGCAAATCTCGATTGACGAGAGGCCTTCCTTTACCTTTTGTTTATTTTTTTTCGCGACGATGAGGTCGTTAACGTGTATAATTTTTGCGCCTCTGATCGTTCAGTATTTCTTCAGCTGGCGTATCAAGTATTCACATTTTGGTCAATATTTTTCATTATCTTTTTTGTCCTTGAGTTAACGAGGAACGTGGCTAGGCGAATCAAGTCAAGACTTAAAACTCAAATACAGTGAAGCCCCGGTAACTCGAACTTTCAAGGGAAACGAAGAACAGTTCTAGTTAGCGGGGAATTCGAGTTATCGGGGTGAATTTCAGTGAAATTTTGATCAAGGGAAACAAAATTTAGTTCGAATTAGCGGGGAATTCGAGTTGTCCGAGTTCAAGTTATCCAGGTTCTGTCACATCTACTGTATAGGCTTTTAATAGCTGGTTTGATTGTCTTGTTTGGTCAAAGTCCGCAATTCTTAATTGCCAAAATATCCTGTGACAGTTTGATTATTAATTTTGAATCTCTACCTTCATACTTCTTCTTAGGATAACATAATGATTGTCTGATATTTGTTGAAGGCAATTTTTTAAAATGGAGATTTAAATACCATAGATGAAACTTTTTTCAGTTTCGACATGCTTCATTATTTCAATAATTTTTCAAAACGACCGGTCAGATATTTCTTTGGTCTGTCGTGTTGCGTGAAAATCATGCATGTACAGATTACCATCATATCAACCGGTTTTCTGCGTGCTCTTTGAAAACAATCATGTTCTGTAGCAAGTTGAATTGACAGAAACGAAGCTCTATGAGATTTGCAACTTCATCTTTCAAGAGGCATAGATTTAAGTTATATTTACTAATTTAGTACATGGTTATCTGCGTTGTTACTGCAATACAAAGCAGACTGAAGTCAATTCTCTAACGCCTTTTCCGAAGTGGCTGTTTTTTGGGGCTAAAGAAGCAAAGGAGAATCATGTTTGAACATATATAAAATATTGTTATAACAATCATCGTCTTGAATAAGTTGGATGAACAAAATTAATGAATGAGGAAGCATTTTACAGTTCTACATCCTTAGCTTTTTAATATTAACACATTGACAAATTTGTAGCACATTATTTTGTACAGTCGACTCTCGATAATTCGAACCTTAAAGGGAAAAAAAAAGTTCCAGTTATCGAGTTTTTTAGTTATCGAGGGTAAAATTTTATGGAAAATGATCTGAACGGAATTAAAAATTGCTTAGAGTTAGCGGGTGGTTCGAGTTACAGAGGGTTCAAGTTACTGGGAGTCCACTGTGATACATTTGGTAATTAGCGTCTGTCAACACTTGCAATCATTTCCACTGGCCTGTCCAGCCTAATTCAGTCACGGTCATATCACAGCTTGTTTGCCTGTTAATGATTAACATTGGTACTTCATCCAGTGTTTACCGATCTTCCCACCAAAACTTCCAGATCCAGTATTTTTAAAGTAACACAAAGCTTGCTCCAGTTTTCTCAAAAGGTGGATAATATTATTTTATCCAATGAATAGTGATTTGGACAACCAGAACTGACCTTTATCAATTATTTACTCTGAAGAGATTGTCCCCTTCTACTAGGTGATTCACTAAAAGAAATATCAAATTCTAGTCAGGTACATGTACATGTTGTAATCACAATTTGGAAAGTCAAGGTTAATTATACAAGTATGCCATACACCTGCACTTTGAAATTTCCTTAACAGGGAATAATAAGCTCCCAGCTGTAAGCCTCATCTGCAATGATATTCTGTGACAACAAGCAAGGGGGTAGTTACATCATATTTCAAAATAGTTCCCTAAGCTTGTGATCACACTGTTATTGTTTGGATTTTTACCCATTGGTAATTCTACTGCAAATTAATTTTAGACAAATGGCTTGGGTAACCATTGCGTTGTGGGGCTTTTCCGGGATAATGAAACAACATTAACCCATTTGCCCCTGAGCTGCCTGTAACTGCCTGTGCAGATCCATGTCCGTTCTACCACTTGTGATGTCATCAGTTTTAACAGTCGAGGACAACTTTGTCTGCTAACGTGTGCAGAGTGAAGAGATCTTTCAAACCATACCAGAATCAGTACAATTCAGTCAAGGACACTGGAGAAAAAGGCAAAAAACCATGTAACATTGACCCGAAAATTGCCATGAAAATCTTGTTCTACTACCCACCTACCTTTCCTTTCATCTAATCTTAAGATCCTCAAAGCTTTAGTAAAAACGTTTCCCACCAAAATGAAGCCTACTAAATACGCAACAAAAGAAAAAAAGGAAGCAAGAAAAGCGAAAAAAGTAGGGAGGAGAGAAAGTGGATTTTTGTTTTCTGAGCGTGCCCGAACTTCTTAAGCTAATATTTTGCATTTGGATCAGAAGGCCGCAAAGAGTATGACCTGTAAATGGCTTGCCCCTTAATTATGGAATGATTTTCCCTTTTTTATGACAAATATATCTTCAGTTAATGCTTTTAAGAAGGCACTTAAAACTCATTTATTTCAGAAGGCGTTTGCCAGCTAATTTATTGTTTAAGAAGGATTCGTAAATAGGATTTTAAAGAATAATTAGTCATTGTTTTTAGAATTTTAGACTTAATATTTTTAGCAAATTATTAGTAGCAATCTGTAAATAAGACTTAAGGGATTAATTATTGGTCATTGTTTTTAGAATTTTTTGAATTGAAATATGTATTAGGATTTTAGGATTTTGTTGAGTCAGTGTAATACGCACATGAAAATTGCTTTCCCTGGATTGATATTTACACAATACAAATCGATAAATATTATTATATTATATTATTATTAGATCAGAATGTTGAAAACTTTGCTGCATGTTTTCTTCCCCACATTTTGACATGATTATGTGGCCTATAAGAAAAGAAAAAATTGCAAAGTGATGTTGTAGTCATGATTTAACCCATTCGCTCCTGGAGATTTTGCCGAAAAACGCGTTTTGAAGCTAGTCGAGTGGTTTTCTGGTCACTGTCGTGCTATAAAGGGCTAAAACTTACCACAAACCGGTTTACAGGTCGTACACTTGGCGGCCTTCTGATCCAGATGCAAAACATCAGCTTGCGAAGTTCGGGCATGCGCAGAAAGCAAAATTTCTTTTTGGATTTAAAAGTGACACAGCAGTCTTGACTTTTACTTTTCGCTTTTTCTCCTCCCTTCTTTTTTCGCTTTTCTTGCCTCATTTTTTTTTTCTCTTGCTGGGCATTTAGTAGGCTTCATTTTGGTGGGAAGAGTTTTTAGGAAAGCTTTTAGGATCTTAGGATTAGGTGAAAGGAAAGGTAGGTGGGCAATTGAACAAGATTTTCATGGAGATTTTCAGGTCAATGTCACGTGGTTTTTTGCTTCTTTCTCCGTTGTCCTTGACTGAATTGTGCTCATTCTGGTATGGTTTGAAAGATCTCTTCACTCTACACAAGTTAGCAAAGAAAGTTGTCCTTGACCGTTAAAACTGATGACGTCACAAAGGGTAGAAAGGACCTGGATCCGCACGGGTGGTTACGGGCGGTTCAGGGGCGAATGGGTTAAGTAGGTCATTTTTTACTTCAAACTCATCTTGTTCTTTGTACTAAGTTTCAGTCAGCACCGTAGTTTTGGTGTATACTTCTTAAATTTGTGATTTTTATAGGTAGACTTATCATTTGCCTGGTTTTTTGTTTTATCTACCTTTAGAATTGGCGCTGAAGGCAAAAGCTGGCGATCTAACAACAGATAATCTCAAGGATGAAGTAAGTAAAACATAATAAATACAGCAAATCTGGACATTATAATTATTATAATGTCCAGATTTGCTGTAATTCATCGTCATCATCATCATCATCATCATCTTTGCTTTACATGCCTTGCAATGCCTTGTCATAAACATCAACAGTTATCACAATTGTCATCATTGGTCTCATCCTCATGATTGTCCTTGCTTTGCATATCTTGTCGTCGTCAATGTCATTATCACCACCATCATCATCATCATTGCTTTAGATATGTGGCAAAGGGAACTAACAAGGACTCCTAAGGCTCAAATAAGTCATATGAAAAGGAACTTGTGCAAAAAATAGGATATTGATTGTACAAACAATAGCCTAGCTTTTGACATAGGAGTCAGTTGTTCAGGTATGAGTGAGAGTGTAGTTGAAGCTTGACCAGAGTCTCCCTGTAAAACCTATTTACAGCCTGGATTAAATTAAGTAAATCAATTCAAAATCAAGATTTGCAGTTCTGGCTTATTTTAGTGTCCCATGGCTACACATACATTGCCACAATTATCATCATCATTATTATTATTATTATTATTATTATTATTATTGTCATAGTCATTTTAAATACCTTATTATGAAAGTTACTTGTAGAAGATGTGAAAATATTTGTGAAAAACTTGTGAATCTTGGCTAGTCTGAGAACGGATGTTTCGGTGCAACTAAATTTCGAAAATGTCTCTGATGATGTGCTTGGCCACAACAAAAATCCAGCTGGCAGACTAGTAAAGATTCACAAGGTTTTCACAAGTATTATTAATACCATTGGGTATCTTGTAATACAAGAAATACGTAAAGTCACCAAATCCTAAACCTCAGCCTCTTCGTGGCTTTTGTCACAGATTTGTCTTTCTTGTGTTTGACAAAATTAATTATAATAATTTGTATTATTACACTTTCGTCCTCCTTTTTTTTCTCTTTGCTTTTTATTTATTATTTGTGTAGCATGATTTGTAGTGATATTTGACATAAATACCTCAAGTGATATTTCAAGATAAATTTATTGTTATACATAATTTCATGAGCCGTTAGGCAATTGAAATACGAGACAATTTTGAAATATCACAAGTGGTATTTATGCCAAATATCATGTACAAATCATGCTATTATTTGTTTATACTACTAACCGCAAAGGTTTTGTAACAATATTTTTACATGTTGGTATTTCCAATTAAGCTGAAATACCACTGCCCTTAGCCAATCAAATTGAAGAAATTTCTCATGTAGTAGTATAATGGCTGTAATCTTCTACATAATTAATTTAGCTCACCATGACTAGCATTTTGGCTAAGTGTATGGCAAAACCTTTATTGTAATTAAGTATTTGTATCACTTGTTCTCACTTTGTGGTTGCAGGTAATTTTAGGATATGCCATTGGAATGGTTATATGTGTTGGAATTGGTGTTCTTTTTTGTTTAATAATGCCAATTGTGGGACTTTGCTTTTGCTGTTGTCGATGCTGCTGTGGAAAATGCGGTGGAGAGATGTCACAGAAGGACAGCCCCAATAACAACTGCAAGAGGGCTGTGTTTGGTGTGATCTTGTTGATGATTACTTTGCTTATGTTGTAAGTACATTATCAAAGAACTTGGCATAATTCTTATAAGGCATAAGTCAAAGTGGAGACTTTTCTTTGAAATAAAATTCCTCCGAAGAAGCTTTTTTTACCAGTGAATTACAGCTGGTGATCAGGGGGCAAAGAAAGTCAGTTTTACAGCTTGCCATTCAGGCAAGCTGAAGGTAGCATTTACTATAGCCCAAATGTTGCTTCAGCTGGCCCCAAAAACCTTTTTGATGAGTAGAACTGATTTCACAATTCTTCTGTAATTTGAATTTCTCCAAACAATTGAGTTACCCTTTTGGCAAGGTAAGAACAAAATTCACTACCCCGGTAGCAAAATTCACCAGACTCAGGCAATCAGACACTGCTGCCACTTTTTATCAACCCTGGATTATCCCTATTATTTGGTATTGAATTTTATTCTAATATATTATAGAATAGTCTAATATTACTAGTCACTGAAATTGGATTCAACAAATGATTTTCTGTGCACTACAGAATCATGATCACATTCACCAAAATTTATTTTGTATGTTGGGAACAAGCCTTAACTAGTTACCATTATCATAATATTTTTGTAAGGTTATTTCTTATTTGTATGTCTTTCTTAGTGCTGGTGTTCTCTTGACATTTGTTTGTAATGACCGGATGTCCGACACGGTGGATGGAATGGTTGACACTTCAAACGGCATTATAAATGAGGCAATTTTTTTCATCAACCGGACTGTTGGGGTAAGTTAACCACAGACAGTATCAAAAGTTGTAGCCACTTTACACAACATAGTCACCTAGAAGGTGAAGGGGTTCTATGAATGTTGGGCAAGGATGTGCTCTGGAACTGTGGAACCTTTAGCCCTTACCAGAACATGTTCAGCTGCATTTTGTAACCATCACTAAGTACCGGAAATCCCTATCCTATTCCTTACTATCTATTTAAAAGATGCTAATGGTGTGTCGACCATCAATAATAATGTGACAGTAGATGATGGTTAATGTTCAGTCAATAATTGTTGTAAAAGCTATAAAAATAATGACATTTTTACCTCCCTGAGGTCATTTTCAGGTTCAAAATAGCAAAGTGAAATCGTCATAATTATAGGTAAATTGTTACGGTAATGTTTAAGATGAAAAAAAAAAACAGGATAAAATATCTGAGTGACAGAAGCTCTAAAGAGAAAACATTTTAATTATGCAGGGCTCGAAATTAACTCTTTGGATAACTAACCCTTCAGGTGGTGGGCATAAATTTTACTAACCAAATTATAAAGTTTTTTATCCAAGAATCTGTTCTTGAAATAAAAATATTTTATCTATTGAAAGTAGTGCTCATAAATGGGACAAACTAATGTATGGATGGATTTGTTTAAATTACATGATGATCTGCAATACGAAATATATAGAAGATTTAATGCTCGTTTACATTTTCCTTTCAATTACATTACGTGAGGGTGGAAAATTCACCATAAACAGAGCAAAACATTTGTTTAGACTCATCAAACTGCAGCCAGGTAAATACCTTTTTCGATTGTTGGCGGAAAGTTCGTTCTTTGTTCATACGCCCTCTGTGTAGTGTTTGAAACTGTACTTCGTCTTTGTCATTATTTTTGATCTTCCAGTTCCTCTTCACAAATTTTGGTGGGCGAACTTTTTCTAAAAAAACTATCCAAGCATCTCTGTATCTGATCTGCGTAATAAATAGGTTGCATGATGTTAACGAGCCATTTGTGAAAGACATATGAAGGCTGTGTCCAGATCTCCCCATCCAACAAAAGCCTGGTCACCTAGAGTTCTGTGAAATGCGCATTTTTCGTGTTGTTCGATTATGCTGTAAGCATATCTTATAGAACAATAAATTGATTGAGATTGAACACAATGTTATGCAAGAAGAAACAGGTGTAAGATTTTCAGTGACAGAAATTTTTACTTTAATACGGTGTCGGGGTAGTAAGGCTTATTTTAGTAACTAAATGTTAGAAACTACTAACCGTTGGTTAACCCTTTAAGTCCCAATATCAACATACAAATTCTCCAAACTGATCTCCATACATTTCCTTTAAGAATCAGTTGAGAGAGTTTAATAACAGATCAAGGTATTTTCGCTTTGGTAATCATTTGTTAATTCTCTGAACTATATCTCTTGACAATTACTGGATATTGTTAGGAGAGAATTGATTTTGGTCACTATCGGGACATAAAGGGTTAATGGTTCAACCCATTAACCCTTTTATACTACTACATGAAAAGTTTCTGCAATTTGATTGGCTTAGAGCAGTGGTATTTCAGCTTAATTTGAAATACCTACATGTGAAAATTACAAACCTTTTGTGGGTAGTAGTATAAACAAATAATAGCTTGACTTGTACGTGATATTTGGCATAAATACCACTTGTGATATTTGAAAATTGTCTCAAATTTCACTTGCCTAGCGGCTCGTGAAATTTCGTATAACAATTTTGAAATATCACTCGTGGTATTTATGCCAAATATCACTACAAATAGTGCTATTACCTATACTAATTTCGAATAATAATTTTAATAAGAATAAGGGAAAAAAAGCCACAAAATATTGAAATACTCTTCACTTTCACTAATTCTCTTCACGTCTCGTGGCACATAAGGCCCTTTATAAGTAACTTTGCATGGATTTATATTTTATTCCTTATTTTAAAAGTTAAATTTGGTGAGGGACAGGGGACAATAGTAGCAAAATTTCTACTGTAAGACTCACTCGTTTTAAAGCTCAATACTACACTCCTCTTTTCACAGGAAGCCGAGAAGCTCTTCTTAGTGGACTTTCCTTTTGTCATTGATCGGCTGGAAAGTGATTTGACCGATGAGAGTCTAACGACTCTTGTGGGTGATCCACTCCTACAGGAACTTGACAAGGTCTCTGTTGAGCCCATAAAAGCTGTCAGGGAACTGTCTATAGGTATGGTTCAAGACAATGAGCGTTAAAGCTATCTTTGTGTGATCTTGATATAATTACACGTGACGAAACTGAAACAAAAGAAAAGAAGAAGAATATAAGAATTTATTAGATTGGTTTATTGAACAGACAAGAAAACATGCAGCTTTCTGTTGGTTTAGCTTGTGAAAACAGCTGACTCCCCTGATTCTTCGCTGCCAGTTATGTTTCACCAGGAGGAAAATTTGTGCCTCAGCACCAGAAATTCCATACTGATGACGTAAATCAATGTTTTTTGTCATCAGTATGGGCAATTTTATCTGAGGAGTGCCGCACATACTGTGCAGTATGAAACTAAGTAGTAATAAAAATCTTAAGTCATATCTCACGTTGACATCAGATAACAAGAGATAGGCATGCATATGTATCAACTGTCCCTTATATAGGCTATACAGGAATGTGCCGTGCCAAAGGTTATGGTTTTTTAGCCGTTTTGGTCTGAAATAGGGATCAATTTCGACCATTTTGGTCTGAAATAGGGTACGGTTTGTGCACTTTAGTCTTGAATTGGGTATGTCTTTTAGAAGAATTAGCTACTTCATTATCATTTGGCAATAAGACCATTTCCCTTTTAGTGTTTACACCAACTATCGTGTATGTGCCGTAACAGCTTGTCACATGCTCCAGTCATGCGCCAGGCTCCAGGGCGTTAGGTCTGAAATAGGGTAGGGAAAATCACAGATTTTGGTCTGAAATAGGGCAAGGGTTTCAGGAAGTGTGCCGCACACCCCCAACCAGTTTTTCTGGAAGTACCCCCCCAGCCCCCCCAGAATTTTTGGTCATATTTAGGACACAAAAGGCAGGTCATTGTGCCAGGCATTCCTTTCAGAGACCGTGGAAACTGGGACTAAGAATTGTTGAGTGATCAAAGTCACGCATGTTTTGCGAAGAAAGCTTAGGAAAGAATAAATTTAGAGCTTTCCCGAAACGTGTTGGTCCACCAATTCTGTCGCTTGAAAGTGTTGATTACTTTGAAGCAAGTGAACACTACTGATTGCTCAAAAAAAAGGAAGAATCTTAATCAGCAAAATTGCGATGGTCAGGTTCTGTAAACCTTCACTTTATGCAAATGAGTCTTGTGATGAACATGCGTTTTATTTTTGGTGATTGAAATGACGTGCCATGTAGATCACTTTTTCAATATCTGGCAATGATGTAATTTCTCTGGAATCGAGGCAGTTGAATTTTCATATATTTATTCACTCGTATAGGCTGCTACCCGGCGCAGAGGTATTTTTGGTCGTCACTAACACGTGTACTAAATCAATTCAGAAACAAATAAAAAGTATCGATGTCGATAAAGTAGGAAGTAAAAAACCTTTAGCTGGTAAATCATGTTTCTTCTAGAATTAATCACCTTTCTCAATCGTATCTCCAAGCAGGGGAGACCTGAATGCCACTGTAAGCGTGTTCTTGTTCACTGTAAAAAGCAACAGTTGCAGTTCTTCAGTTAAGGTTATGTAAAGGAAATTGACCCTCTTAAGCTAAGCATATCTTGCCAGTGCATTCCAGCAATAATTTTCTGAAGCTGACTTTCTTCCAAATTTATAACTTAAGAAACTAGTAATTATTTAGTGTGAGTAAAGTTTGCACAAACACCTTAAATTTTTGAAAAAGTTGTGGCCTATTTTTCAAGTTAAGAACATTAAAATGTCAACTTTTTGTGTGTATTTTTTTTTTTTTTTTCATTAGAGACCCAAACTATGAGGGACCAGCTGGAGACAATCAGAAGCAACAGTGACAACTTGTCACGTTTGGCAGGCGATTTGGATACAGGGCTAACTACTGCTAGGAAGAATTTGACTGAAGTCCTGGCTGATTGCAGCTCATTTTCCAGTCCTCAACTGTCTTGCAGCAGTATCAACGTAGCGAACTTGGCTGCTGATGCTAATTTTACCAACCTTCCAAATATCTCCAGTGAACTCCAAAGCATTGAGGATGTTGTCAATCAGGACTTTGAAAAGTCAGCACAGGAAGTAAGACTTACAATCCGTGGAAGTTAAAGCTGTCTATCTATTTTAGATTTCAATTAATTAAAATGACTGTAGTAAAATTTAGGAGTTGACCGGTCAATGTACATGTAATATACCTGCCAACTCTCACTTATAATCTGTAAAAACTTCGATCTCACGCCCGCTCACGCCTGCGGACCAAAGCACGCCTGATTGAAAAATGTGAGTTGTTGCCGCCTTTGCTTGACACAATTTCCAAAAATTAATTAAGACCCATGTCCATGTGTAAAATGAATAAATGACAATACCTTCCTCGGGATTGATTTTGTGGATAAGTCATAACTTCGCCGCAGATGTACTTCCAAGATGTTAATCTAAATGATCGTTAACTGGATAAAAATCTCACGCCTACATCTCAGAAAAAGTTGGCAGGTATAATGTAATTGTGTTAATGTAATCTGAAGTAACTGTACTGTAACTTATGAATAATTGATTTTTAATTTATTGGTGATGATACCCGAAGAAAAGAATCTCTGTCTCAATTTTGTCTACTCATCATTTTACTGTTTTCTTGACAGGGTCTTAAAGAGGTGACAAATATTCCACAAAAAGTGATAAATGAAACAAGAGGGACAAGAGCAGGTGAGCAGCAAACATGAAATACCACAACATGCCATTTACATATACATATATAAGCCTACCCAGATTTAGGTGCACAACTCTTAACGAACCCAATCAAAATGAAATTAGCATGTGGCAAGAAATTTTTGTGGGTTTTAATTTTTGAAATATTTGCGATTTTTTCAGCAAACCGCAAAAATAAGTTCCCGCAAATAAAAATTAGCACAAACATTTCTCCCGCAAAAATTTACTCTGGAGTAAATATTCTCTTACTAACTTAAATCCACTACACAAAAATACAGTACTAAGAAAACGTGTCTGTTCAATAATACAACTTGCCTCTTTCATTCAGAAACAAAACTGTACACAATGAATTACTGGTTTTACATAGGGTATGCATACCGTAGTATTGTTTTAAAATATGTATTTCTATTGCATGTACTTAACAATAATGAAAATATTTTCAATGCTGGGTACTGGGTACTTTCTGAAAATCGCAAAAATTAATTCCCAGCAAGAAAAACCAATCTGTTTTTATCGCAAAAATTAGTTCCCGCAAAACACAAAAAATTACCAATCTGCAAAAGTAAACTCCCACAAAAATTTCCTGCCACACAGTAACAAAGAAGTTGTATGAACCCAGAGCAGTCAATAGTTGGTTCAGCCTGGTGACTTATCATACTATAATTCTGATTCTTTGTCCCAACAAACAAGGGTGGGCCAAGTGTTTTGCTGGTTCTCAAGTGAGCAAGGCAAAAAAACCAATAGTCCATTTAATGAAAGTTTAATACTGTTGTAATAGCTGTAGAGACTAAAAATGATAGTCACACTTTAAACTTACATTTGCAAAGTTTTATAGATGAATAGACTATTTGCGTAATGGCATTATTGTACTACTAGCACCAGAATGATTTAGATAATGAAAAGAAAACCAAAAAGGATTCTGGTAGTAGTAGTAGTAGTAGTAGCAGTAGCAGTAGCAGTAGCAGTAGGCGACAGCTGCAGTGAAGCAGTAAGGTCGGTACACACTAGGCGACAAGTTGCTGCAACACATCGTGGTGACAGATCAATCCATGTGTACAGGGCGGGCTACTAGTTGCAGCAACAAGGTGAGGCGACACGTCGCAGCGACAAATCACTTCATGTGCACTGGAGAATTTTTGTGAAAATCTTTGTCTCTGCAACAGAATTTTGTCTCTGCGACAAGTCACAAAAAATCAAATCAGACTGAATCTGTGGGGCTTGTTGTGGCGACAAATTCTGTTGCAGCGACAAAGATTTTCACAAAACTTTTCCAGTACAGACAAAGCGATTTGTAGCTGCAACATGTCACGGCGACATGTTGCTGCAACTTGTCGCCTAGTGTGTACCAACCTGTAGTAGTAAAATGACTCCATCATACAAATGGCCTATCGAAAGCAAGCTTTTCAAATTTTATGCAGTTAAGAATTCAAGGCACACATTAGGTCAGTCACAATGCTCTTTCATGCTCTTACACTCTATGCTCATATAATAAATTTTAAAAAAAATAGTAACTTGCAGAAGTGCTGCTTAAAACATTGTGTTCATTAGAATTGTCACCTCTTATGACTTCATCAAGACTGCTCTCTGCAACTGTTATCGAGGTGGTGCCCTCTTAGGGGGGTTCATTGTACCTAGGTCCCTCATCTGAATTGAATTTCAAGCCCATTGCTTCATGTATTGAGGAGGAAGCCATGTCACTGTCAGTATTATTATATCTATTTGTGCTTTTCTTTCCTTCAATGTTGCAGTTTAAACCTTTTCTTGCCATTTGTAGTTACTTCTGCTGTCTTATGTCATTGTTTCAAGGCCACATTGCTTGTCGGAATCCTCTGGTGTAAAGCCACAAGTGATATCTGATAAACTGCTAGATTTTCCTTGCAACTTCCCCGTATTACTTGCAAATCAAAGGGGGAATGTGGTATTAGTTCAGGGTTCATTTAGGGCCTTCCACGTTTATTTGTACCCCTTCAACTCATAATTGAAGTGAATGGAATAGCACATTTCACTAAATGCTTTCAGAAGTCTTAACTTGTTTTTAATGTTATTTTCCTATTTTTGTTTGTGACCCATATTAGATATAAATCAGAGGATAAGCAACGCGTCAGACTCTATACAGAAAATAAGGAATGATATGAGAAAAATAGCAGATGATGTAAGTGAAGTGGTAGCTAATACTTCAATATTTTTATTGCATTCAAATTTGCACCATGAATTCCAGAATACATGGTACAGTAAATACATTCTTCACTACAATTTAACTGGACTAACGTTTTTGTTCATAGTAGGAATTACCTACTTACAAAAACAATTCAGTGAAATTCACCAATTTGGCGACCTTTCTTCGACGGACTTGTCCCAAGCCATAGTTTTTGTTGTGTTTATGGTCTCTTTAAAGCTAAACTAAGATAAGCATTTGTGTGAAATAGTGTTTATGCTCCATTTTCTACATAATTCATCCCTTTTACCCTGGATGTTCAGGTACATGTATTAAGACTTGAGGCATTGTCTGTTCCTCGAAATTCAATAATAAATGCAAAATAATGTAGTCAGGGAGACATTTTTTTTTAATTCAAGCTCCCGTGTGGTATTGCACAAACTGTCCTTTTTTGTTCTGGTCACTAATATGCTATGTCTGGTTACCATTCCATAATTTCTGGTGGCCAAAAAGTAACTTTGAAAAAAGTAGAGCTTGGAGCACTGCAATTTGTTAGAAAGGAAAGAAAATGTTTGTCCATTACCGTTGTAAATGACCTTTTTGTGTGTGTACATTATATTGAAAGGATGTTATTGACAAATTAAAGAACTATAGAGATGCAGATGTACCAAACATCCAGAAAGATGCTGAAACATATGACAAGTATCGGTAAGAAATGCCTCGTCTTTTTCAGTAATAATTGTATCTTTTGTTTGTTAACATTATTAATATACAAGTCTAGGTGCCATTTTGCACTGAGGCCTCTAATTGGTTTCAGTGTCAATTTAGATACATGTACAAGCCACATTAGACTCTAGGAATTCGTGTTTGCATTCTGACCATGCGTATTTTAATCCTCTGTCACATGAAACTTACACAAAGCCACAGCTCTGAAGCAAGAGAATTCCATGGCATCAATCTCGCCAGCACTCCCTAGCCTTTGTTATTACTAGTAGGATCACAGGACTGAGTGGAGTTGCATACTGTCTAATTACTTAGGCATGATGCATACTGTCCTATTACACTGTCCTATTAATGCTGAGATCAAGACAGCTGATAGCCAATTGGATTTGAGGATTTTGGTATAGAACTTTATGATTAATCATGCACCTTTTCCATTTAGATGGATAGCTGGTGTTGCTCTGACATGCTTCCTACTTTTGATCGTGGTGCTGATGGCCCTTGGTCTGATGTGTGGTGTTTGTGGCCATGATAAGGAGGCTACTCCTACCGTTCGAGGAACAGTTTCGAACATGGGTGGTCTTTCCCTCATGGCGTAAGTTAACCTCTTTCCATGTTAAGATTTAACTTAGAAAACTTTGAGCACCACAAATTATTATTTCTTGCATGTAATAAAGAGGAAGAAGCTAACCAGACTTAAAATAACGGGAGAACTGTTTAGTTTATTCGAAAACAGCATCTTCCTTTTGATTTCTGTTGTTACTGCAATTAATATTGTAATTTTTATGACCCCCAATATTTTATCAAATGACTAAAATGGACAAAGAAGTCAGTTTCTAGAATGAATATGCTATGAATATTGTGTATGAATAGTGATTATGATTACATTAATTTTTGTTGTTTATTTTCATGTGATGTGGACTGAATTGACATTCACATTATATTTAAGTATTATCATTGAAAACAACATAGGAACAGCAGTTTTTTTTTTTTCATTTACTGTGATACAGTCAAACATCTATTAACCCTTTAAGCCCCAATGTCCACATATAAATTCTCCATACTGATCTTCATACATTTCTTAAAAGAATTAGTTGAGAGAGTTTAATAGCAGATCAAAGCATTTTCTCTTTAGTGATCATTTTATTGAGCTATTTTGAAAAAATAGCTCATATGTCAGTGGTGTGAGCGTATGTATCTTTGTGGCTTTGTATCTTTGTATCTTTGTAACTTTGTAACTTTGTAACTTTGTATCTTTGTAACTTTGTATGTTCGGATGTTTGTTGCAAGAGCCAATGAGGTTGAAGGTACTATGAGTTGATGCTAAGGAACCAATGAAATCTTGGCATCTACTTAAAAATCACATCGCTAAAGGTCGAACAAGGGCACTTTAAGACCGCCATCTTGATTCTTTACAATTTGTTCGTCTTTTATTACGGCTACAGGTGTTTATAAAACATTATATTAAATATCTTCATGATTCAAACGCTGTGTACAGTGATGCAGCTGTTTAAGGGTTCATATTTTAGTGTGGATGCTACTTCAAGACATTTCTGACCGAATTCGGCTATCGCGAACGGTACCACGCACGTATTTATGAGTTGTGTTTCACCTGCTTCAAGGTAGAGTATAAACGATCATATATTTTCAAAGCTCTTCCAGTGAAGCAATAATTGATATTTAGATATGGACTTTAATTCGAAAGTATGCGGCCTATAAAATGTGGTTTTAGAAGTTTGAAAAGCAGCTTATTTTTTTAAAAGCTGTACCGAGTATTGTTAATCCTGTAAACAAGCTGTAGAAATATTATTCTCTCGCTTACAAAGTTCAACAGACCTTTTTCGTTCCGGCAAAACAACAACAAAAAGGAATAATAAGTGAACAACATGATACATCCTTCCTGCATACTAAGCATTATAGTTATTGAAACGTATTTTATTTAGTAAAGATGCGTATAAACTTACGTAGAAACAGTAGCGTTAGGGAATAAAATTGGAAGAAGCTAGTTGACACAATAATTAGGTACTGCTTTATTGAGTGGAGTAACATGATATGAGCAGAAATATATTTCGGCAGTTTGATAATTTTCTTGGAAGTTAATAAATGTTAGGCTATCAACCTTGACGTTGCATGAAACATAATTTAATTGCAGATGTTGCAATAAGGCCGAGGTGATTTCTTAAAATCGCTTGAGAAAATTTTGTAGTAAACAATTTGCGTTTTTTTTTAAGTACGAATTGTAAAAGGGCCAAAGACCAACATCTTCACATGCAAATCGTGTGCATGAGTTATTTTTATAATTCTGTTTACTCGATTACTGTGTGATAACTCGAATTCCCTCACGTACGAACCACGGAAGGGGGCAAAGTCCAACACTTTCACGTGCCATCTGTGTGACTGTACATCTCATGCAGATTGGCTTTTCACAATAGTAACAGTGACTTGAACGTATAAAGACCTGTTTAGTTTAGTAACCAATGCCGTAAAAAAGGCTCTTGTCTTTTAAGAAGCAATAGCTTTTAAAACATGAAGAAATAAGTTGTCGGAGTTAAAGACTGTCTCACAAATGTTAATAAATGTTAGGTTATCAACCTTGACGTTGCATGAAACATAATTTAATTGAAGATGTTGTAATGAAGCCGAGGTGATTTCTTAAAATCGCTTGAGAAAATTTTGTAGTAAACAATTTGCCTTTTTTTTAACATACGAATTGTAAAAGGGCCAAAGACCAACATCTTCACGTGCAAATTGTGTGCAAGAGTTATTTTTATAATTCTGTTTACTAGTTTATTGTGTGATAACTCGAATTCCCTCACGTACGAACCACGAAAGGGGACAAAGTCCAACTCTTTCACGTGCCAGCTGTGTGACTGTACATCTCATGCAGATTGGCTTTTCACAATAATAAATAGTAACTTGGACGTATGAAGACCTGTTTCGTTTTGTAACCAATGCCTTAAAAAAGGCTCTTGCCTTTTAAGAAGCAATAGCTTTTAAAACATGAAGAAATAAGTTGTCGGAGTTAAAGACTGTTTCACTGAGTAGAATCGCACGTGAAAACCTCGTGAATTATGATGACGCAACCATCTACCTCAATGATAAAAATCCTGGTATTTCGTAACTATTCAGTATTCGATGAGTCACATTTTGGCTTAAGAAACTCCGAGGAAACCTTAGAGTTTTCCTTCTAATCAACGTTTGGTGAGTAGAAATTTATTTTACTTTAGCAATTTGTTTAACTTGCACCAGATGTAACTGGGAAAGACAGAGGAAAGTGAATACATAGGTTGAGGATCGACTCAGCTGAGCGTTTCGCGTTTTCATTTATGTAGCGCAATACGCAATTTCGCACAAAAACCAAATCTACATTTAGGATGAAAAAGGTAGATTCATCACTCTTGGTAAGGTTACACCGAAGTATTATAGTTACACTGAAGCATTCAAAATAGCTCATGCACGTTGAACGTGCCTATGTTTAACTCTCATAACCATTCCTTTTGGCAACATATGGATATTGTTAGGACAAAATTGATGTTGGTCACTGTTGGGACTTAAAGGGTTAAGGTTAGCAGATACCTTCAGGGGTCAGGGTACGCCAAAACCTATGTCCGATTGTCTGGGACAGGTAGAAATTTAGTTCGGACATGTAAACCTTTGACATGACTTGTCCGTGGGACAAGCACATTTTTAATTAGAAAAAAAATAAAGAAACAGTTGAAAATTGTCTTCAAATTACAACAGAATTAAAATTGATCTTGAAAGTCATAAAAGCAAACCCTTGACAAAATAAGGTTAAATATTCCATTTAACTTCGCCATTCCATGGTCATTTCATTTGTTTTTACGAGCTCCATTTTGAGTTAAAGTCAAAAACAATTTACAAGGGTGATAATGTGATTAAAACATCAAATGCCCAATTTTTTTTTGAGTTTTGGGTTTGGAGCTAAACTTTTTGGACAAGAAATCTTCGGTCTCGGACAACCAAATTTTATATAGTGCTTGTTCGAAGGACAAGTAGACAGGAAAATTTTTCTCTTACTCTGGGAGTGTCTCCCATCTACACTGTATGTCGTGGATTCCAGTCAAACTGCAGATACCTAAAACCCTTAACAATTAATTAAAGCTTATTTAACTGGGTATCTCAATAAACCAACAAGTTTATAAAACCTTGCATTGTTGATTTTTTGATGATTTGTTAACGTGAACCAGCTTTCAAAAGCTATAACTCAAAGCGATTTTTGTCTTTTGTGTGAGCTGGATACTCATACTAAAATGCCTCTCAACAAAAAAGTATTACAAAACAAAAATATCCTGACGCGTTTTTGCATATAAATCTTAAATTATGTAAGTGACATCTCTTAAAATTCTAGGTCAATCAAACAAATTCTTTTTGAGTTTTAGCTTTGGTAGATTTATTAAAAGCAACATGGCTTTGTTTAAGTTGTTTCTGATACTTGGTTTCTCAAAATGTGTTCACTTTGTTTCTAGGGCTGCTGGATTTTGCTTTATTTTTGCATCATTATTGATGTTACTGACAACAATCTGTTTTATCATTGGAGCTCCAGCGCAAGCTGTCTGCTCAAGTGTTCTATCTGGAGAGCTGTATAAAGAGGTTTGTGAAATCAATTCTTGATAACTGTGTTTTTTTCACCAAGTGCAAGGCTACGATCACTGACTACCATAATCAGCTAGCTTAAGCAATAACGACGGCAATAGCTACAAAAATGTCTCTTAAAAATTTAATCTTTACCAGACTTACTCCATCTCGTTCAATTCGTCAAATGTTGGCAATTTTTTCTGAAGTTGAATTCTAAAAGACTGTAAAAGGCTTGGTGGTTTTTTGTTGCACATCAATAAAAGGTATTTCTGTAAATGAAAATACTAGTTTGTTACCCTTAGACTGCAATTATTTTCTAAGGAAATTCTTCTTTCACCCTGCTTTTACTGACTATTGCTTTTAAGGACACTGACTTAAGCTCCTAAGGGTGCTAATGGGAGCCGCTGTACATGTACACTTAAGGGTCATTCCCACAAACTTGGCAACAACATCACTCTTTTTAAACCAACTTCAACTCACTGAAGATTGTATTTCTAGGTTATAGATAAGCCATCATTCTGGGGTACTGATGGAAACCCATTATCAAAAGCCATCTTTCAAGACTCAAATATTGAATTTTCAATTGGGAGTTTCATTGAGTAAGTATATATGAGTAATATTGTATTTCAGGAGATATTAGGGAGCTTTAACAACCATGACAGCAAGGAGAGACAAAACATCACTTATATACTGGGCTTGAGTCAACAGGAACCACATCCAAGTTAAGAAAGCTAAAGAAAACTTTAGCACCACAAACAATACACAACAAATGTGAAAATTTGACTTGCAGATTTGAATGACAGTGAGTCTCCTCTTATTTTTGCTAACACCTCTTATGGGAGTGTGTCAAGTAAAGTCTCAACAGCAAGTGCAATTCCCAAAACTGAAAAGTTGTTTTGCTAACGGCTGAATTAAAAGCCAGCTTGGCTGAATAGTTTTGCTTTTATTTTTGAAATAGTGGCTGTTACATGGCTGAAACATGGCTGAAACATGTTTGAAAAGGATTATTTACTTACTGATCAAGGGTTTGGAATGCTATTAATATTTGTAGCTGTTTTAATTAGTTGTTAACACAATGCATTGTTATATATCTTTCTCTAGCAACTGTCGACAGAACATGCCACTCTATAAAGCAGCTCAATTTGACCGAGCATTCAATGTCACAAAAAAACTTGATATCGAAGAGGTGAGACTCTGCAAATTATTGTAGGTCCCAAGGTTAATAGTTCACTACAAATATTTTATAATAATGCTGTCTGATATTATGTGGATTGACATGCTTCCAAAACATTGGGCAAAATAAACAACTTTTTCAATGCGGTGATTCAGTATTTCCTTTTTTAAACATTTTTACCTTGTAAAGTACAGTATAGTATTTTTAATGCATCGGTCAATTCCACCTGCGCCCAGCTTTACGTACAGCAGTCTATTAATTTTAATGTCAATAATTTTATATTAATACTAAAACCATAAACTGGTGCATGTTGTCGCGGCGTGAAGTCTTAGTTAGAATCCTAGCGCTATTACAAAGGAAGACGTTAATTGAAACAAAAATCGCACATTAAAATGCTTAAAATGGCACTATTCGACTGTGCGATCAATGAAAAATGTTGCAGTGTTGATGGAGGACGGGGCATTTGCCCTCTTTTTTCTTCTCCACCCAGGGGGATTTGACAATTCAAGAGTCCCCACCCCCTTGAATTTGCCATCTAAGGCAAAAAAAATGCTAAATAATGTTTCTTTTTTTTGGCTTCATTAGCTTCTTGGAAATCAAAGTACCCAGGAATTTGACAAGTTGAATGTCAACTTAAGTGACGTGAACATATTGTCCAACGAAACCCGTAATAGCCTGATTGATTTACGGCAGTCAGGAGTGGATGAAATTGACTTTGATGCTTTCTTGAATGAGGTGATGATATTTTGTAGTGAATTTTCCTCTAACCAATTTGTACAGTAGTCACTTTCCCCTTCCCCTTAGAAGGGTTTTGTTGTATGAAACCCCCTTCCCTGTGGAAGTCTTTGACAACCCCTACCCACTTCTGAGGGAAGATTGTACATGTGGTTCTTTTCTGGCGGCCTGGGTGCAAATCCTCGAACCTATGCCATAGTGGGTTGAATTTCTTGTTCCTTGCGCCAAAGATTTTTCTTTGGGCATCCCGGTTTTCCCCAGATTCTAATTAGATCAGGAATGGTAGACGGGCAACCACGCAGTGGATTTGTTTTGTCTAAATCTAAATTTATTTATTGACATGTACAGAAGGTTGGGTTGAGATCAAGTTATTGGATCAAAATACCTCCTCAGTCCAGCCTCTAATACGAAAATCTTAGCGCCACAACCATCCAGCCTATCTGTTTGGCTTGTTCTGAAACACTATTAGAATCAAATGGCAAATAGCTGGATGTTCCTTTAAGCTACCTTTATTTTATAAAATGGAGTTGAGTTACTATGACCCCTGAGTTCATAGCTAACATGTTGCAAGAAGAATTCCACATATTGTACTCACCTTTCGTTCAAACGAAGGACAATACTTTTTTTTCAGGCTTTGTTTTCGCAACAGCATAAGTTGCATCTTTAACTGCGATGATCTTCTTTGCATTTATTTCTTCATTCTGCCGTTCCATTATTATTAGATTCATATATTCATCATTTCAGCTTCATCATTCCCAGTTGTATCACGAACCAATTAATGACCAGCTCCTGGTTGCCTTGAAGGTCAATTGGTTACAGCATTGCACTGGTACTGTAGAGGTCAGGGATCGAATCTTGGCAAGCCTGAATTTTTTAAGGCTTTCTTTCCGCAACTGCATAAGTTGCATCTTTAACTGCGATGATCTTGTTTGCATTTATTTCTTCATTTCACAATTCCAAAACATTAGATTCATATATTCATCATTTCATCTGCATCTTTCTCAGATGTATCACGAACCGATTAAATGACCAGCTGCCAGCTGCCTTGTAGCTCAATTTGTTAGAGCATTGCACTGGTATTGCAGAGGTCAGGGTTTGAATCCCAGCAAGCCTGAATTTCTTCAGGCTTTCTTTCCCGAACTGCATAAGTTGCATTATTAACTGTGATGATCTTCTTTGTATTAATATTGATAACAGTATCCTTCTTAGCCCTTCTAGGACTCTTTATTTAAAACCTTTAGCAAAACGTGACTCTAAGTATTTTTTTTATCATTTCAGACAAGGAAAGGCATTACTACAGTTGATCTCCGAGAATTTGCCGATAGTGTCCATAACCTTTCCACCCAGTTTCAAACCCTAGGCAAAAACCTGTCAGGAAATGATCAAGCCAATGCTTTCGTAAGTATAGGGGTTCCTCTTCTTTTAATTTTACCTTTCATTGCTTCAGGGCAGAAAAAAGCAAAGGTTCGATTGCCCAGGGGAAGTAAATTTTGATGTTGGGCGCGTAAAAATAGGTATTTGGTGGCCCATTGGGCAAGTAAAATAAACCTTAGGGGTCCAGTGAGTAGGCTTTGCCTAAAACCTGGAATCCAGAATCCGGAAAAAAAAACACATGTGAGGTCGACTTGTAGCAAGTCTAAATGCCGAATGACTGTGGAGTTTAGTGATCAGGGTTAGGAAACTGAGTGAATCAAGTTTCAGGTCAGTTTGCTCAGTATAATGACCCTAAATAGAACCTGATTCACTCAGTTTCCTTAAACTTCAGAGTCATTCAGTGTTCAGAGTAAGTTTTTTCCAGATTCCAGGTTTTAGGCAAACCACTGTGAGTATGTCTTGAAAGTGTTGGTCAGGTAAATGATAACTTCCAGACAAAAACTATGTCAAAACTGAAGACTGCAAGATGAGTGACACAATTATTTAAAAGGATGAATCAATTTAAAATCCAAGAGCACGTTTGCTTGCTCATGTTACTCATCCAATCACCATATTAGTCAATTCCAGTAGCTTACTCTGCATATGGCACAGCATTTAAGTACTAGTAATCTTATACGCTTTGTTACAATCTATAACTTATTAGACAGTACCTTAGAACTATGAATGATAAGGCATTGTGTTCACTTCGGGCAACTAATATATTTAAGTGGGGGCAAGTGAAAAGTTAAATTTACTTTCCCACTGGGCAAGTGGATTTTAATTTTTTTTCTTGCCGTGCAGCTTTCTTTGAAAAAAAGAAATTAATTTACACGAAATGCAGATTGGACTTATCAGTGGACAAACTTTTATCTGATTCCAATCCACTCTGTGTATAACTTTGCGCATTGTATAACGCGGGGAGATCACTGCTTCAAGAGTTTAACTTTTGGTCGAGGTTTGTGAGTTTGAGTCTCACCTGGAGCTCGGAATTTTTCCCAAGCTTTCTGGTGTTTGATTCCTCTTTCTTCAAAATTACATCAGCAGAAAAGATGGCCTGGTGAAGAGCTCATGAAATGTACACAGTATATCTTTGACTGATGTTAAATGTATATTGATAGAAACTAAATTACACTTTAGGTTACAGGATGTGTGGTGGCCAATTTAGCATACACTCTTTTTAATACCAGTAGTTACACTTATTTGAGGCAGGGGGACCCACACAGACATTAACATAGAAGCGAGTCGGTCATAGATCTAGTGATGTGATCGACATCACAGGGGTCGTGTGCGTGAAGTGGGGGTGGGACTGCTATGGGTCTGTTGACCTGCCCCTTTTAAGTGAGGCAAAACCTGATTAAAATGCGGTAAATTCTGTTGACATTTTTCTTTCCCATATTTTATTTGTAGAGACTTGGAAACAGATCAGAAGCTATTGCTCGAGACCTGCGTCTTCTACATAACAACACTGTAGCAGTCATGGAGGCACAGTCCGTAAGTGAGCAAATAGTACAAATGATCGATATATTTTAGAAAGATTAGTTCAGTGAGTGACTCAGGTGGCTTGATTTTTTTTCTTCCGATCCGCCTGTGTCACTGACTGATTAGTCTGTTCCAGGCTCTCAGATAGTAGAGATGACACCTAAGTGCCCTGGGTACCAGAGGTTTTTCTCGCGTGCGGCGGGAATTTTCGGTGTTGGCCGAAGGCTGACACTTGACAGAAACCGGAAACCGCGCTTCAAAAGTCTCTGGCACCCAGGGTAACGCCTAAGTGAAAGGCATGCGAAAATAGGAGCGCGTGATCTAGTAGAGGGGGGCGGTGGCGGCGAAAAGGAAGAGAGAGAGTTGTGAGAAAAGGAAAAAAAAAACATTTTTTTGTGTATTCACCAGGCTTAAAATTCACCGTCACATTTCTATAATAGGGTAGCCTGTAAGCAAGCTCCCCTGGGGTTCCCGGGGATTGCTCGAAGGCTAATCGTGGAACGTGGAACTGCTTCTCCAATTCCCTTGTGAGGTGTTTTTTGTTGCCATTAACTTGACCATTTGCTTATGAGGGTGACCTTTTTGTCACACCATATAATGATGACCGTTTTGATGATGGTGTTATTGTTTATTTGAATTCTTTTACTCTTTTAAAGAAAGCATTAGACGACAATGTAAGAGGCCTGCGTACTATTGGATCCAACCTTAAGGTACTATAAGTACATAATGTATAGACAGACATAATTTGACCTACCTACTGTAAATCCTCTATTAAGCCCCCCCCCTTCTCAAAGAAGCCCCCCTTTTCAGGGTAGTAAAATCAATAAGCCCCCCCTCCCCTCCCCTAGTTATTGTTCACGAATAAATGACAGACTATATAAATCAATCACGGCTGTAAAACTTTTCGTGTGGACTTATCCTGAATGGTTTATTTACCAAGTGGAAGTTCGGATTTGTTTTTTATCCTCGGCTGCTGGACCTCCAACCTTCTTGTACTTGAGCTTTTCCACTTTGTATTCTAGTTCTTTATGGAGAACTGATACCATCATCATCACCCCCAAATGGTCAAATGGGCTTGAAAAAAATTAGCTCCCCGGGGGGCTTAATAGAGGATTTACGGAAGTGAAAGACATTAGAGTGATTTTACTTAACTCGTGAAATAGGTGGTAGAATACTACGCACTACCATGCACTAATTCCATTGTCTTCCTTTGTTTACTTGTTGCTATTTTGTACTAGACTGCGAGCAGTCTCTTATTTGTCTTTGCAAAGTTACTGCGCGCGAAACCTAAGCACGCGAGTGGCGAATTACGCCGCGAGCCGCGAGAAATGACGGCGTAAGACCGGGAAGAAAAAATAAGAAAAACAACGTCGTGGTTTACAATCGCGCTGGATGAGATAAGAACTAGACGGATTTTAAGAGAAAAGGTGGGCTGAAAGCAGTCTAATTTTGTACTACTTGGTTGTATCTATTTCACGGGTCAAGTAAAATCACTCTATCCTACTCCAAATACTCTACTCCAGTAGGTGTTGGGGTAGTGGTGTGCCTCCCGGCGAGGCATGATGGCCGCCGTGATGGTTATATGCATTCCATCATGTGTGAGGCAACTGTTATTATTACAATAATGAGTTGAGTTTTTCAGCTAAATATGAATCAAATTCTTCGAGTAAACCGTGGTGATGCTAGGTAAACAAATTAATCAACTGCACCTGAGTAGATGCCTTTATTATAAATAATATTATTTGTGTTTTATTCTTGTAGGAGAGGGCCAATGACACGCTGAACAAGGCAGAGGAAGCAGAGACTTACCTTCACACTCAGTCATCAGTTAAGATGAACGAGGTTAGTATTTTGGCGCGAGACACAGCGCATAGGCTCTGCCTCTAACGTCACAGTTCAGAGACGTTTAATAGAACAGAGAATTTAAGAGCTACAGTTAAAGAGCAACGGTTAGACGAGCCATAGAGGAAATTCTTGTGACCAGGCCGAGAACAGTTTTGGCGGGAATTTATTTGTAGCGCGACACACCAGTTTGTCATCACAAACAGAACTTTACTGGTGGAATGGCGATTTTAATCCGTCTTGGGAAAGCAACTTTGAGGGGAAGAAACGCAAAAGAACTAAGTTGTTTAACTCTTTGATTCATGAAGGAATACAAGATAGTGATGTACTTGCTGCACAGGCTGAAATGTGGTTAACAAACACAATACACACAAAAAGAAATCAAAACTCGGCGCTTGATTAACCCAGAGTTAAAGAGTTGTCTTATCTCCTCATAGGGTTCGTACGGGTTTTAGGAAACCTGGACAGTGGTGAAATTTAAGAATTTTCTTTTCTAGGCCTGAAAAATCGTGGAATTTAATTGTCAGTCATGGAAAGTCATGGAAAATTGAATTTATGTTTGGTAGATTTGTTACTGCAGATGTCAAAGTAAGGACAAAGATGTAGACAAGTAATTAAATAGCGCGAACTGCACGCGTTTTGGTGGACGTCAGAGTTTGTGTCTGTTAAACTCAAAACAAGGAAAGTTTTGCAAAAATGTTTTAAGGTCATGGAAAAAGTCATGGACAGTCATGGAATTTGAAGAGCCCAAAAGAGTACGAACGCAGGCTCTTTGTTTTGTACACGTAATTATAATGTTTCCCTGGTATTTTCATTCCAGATTGTTAGAAACTATACTGACCGTGTGCTAGGTTGGGGTTATCAATTCACTGATCATGTTCTGGACGTGGTAAGTTGTCTGTTCTTGTGGTGTCCAAGTATTCTCTGCCATGCGTACGATCACGTAGTTGTTCATAGGCATTTTACAAGCTATGTAGGTATAGATGATTTTGAACTAACAGGTATTTACACCCGAACTCCAGCCAACGTCGTCAAGTTGGACTCTCTTATTTAAATATAATCGCTCGAAATCTATTGCTTGTGGTCGCCACCAGCCCGGAGAATTCATTTCAGTATTTCTTTTGTTGTTCAGAGACCATGCACAGTTCTAGCCAGCGAGTTCATCTTGATAATTCTAGCAAAACGCTCACCCAAAAGTTGGGCGAATCCTAGCCTGAAATTCATCCGATTGCTTCGAGTCTCTCTCTTACTGAGGGAGTAACAACGATTCGAAGTAAACGGATGAAATTCAGGCTAGGCGAATCCCCGTGATACTTCAGTCGTTTTTTTCAGTTTCAAGTTTAATAACACTATGCAGAGACCAAGTTTGGGCTGCACGTGGGGCCAAAAGTTGCATGAAACCAACCGTCTTAGGAAACTTAAGCAACGGCAACGGCACAACTACGAAAACGTCACTTAAAAAGTGAAATTGCGCTGCCTCAAACTTTACCGCGCTTATTCCATCTCGTTTAATTCGCCAAATATTGACAATTTTTTGTGGAGTTGAATTCTAAAGGACTGTATCAAAGTTCAGGAAAGGAAAAGGACTGTTGTTGTCTCGTGTTCCCGTCCTCGACAAAACGTGAAATTACGCACTTTCATGTTCTAGTCGTGCAACGACGGCAAAGAAATGTACAAAAAAGCGTGATGCACGTGCAAAGTTGTTGTTTTGCCAATCTAAACCTATTGCTGGTTTGCACGTGACGTCACGGCGGCCATGTTGGGGGTCAAGAACAAAAGCATTTCTCTCCTCTGGGAACTAAACTCTATTTTCATGTAAATTCTTCGAGGAAATATTCTTTTGTTTTGACCCCCGACATGGCCGCCTTGTCACGTGGTTGCAAACCAAGAATTGCGTTATTGCCGTTCTCGTTGACGTGGCCGTCGTCGTTGCTTAAGCTCCCTGTAATGTCTACAGTTAACGTTAAGACTTTGACTCACTAGGGACTTTAAGATCCAACGACGCAGACGGTAACGAGAACGTCAAAAAGACAATAGGTTTGATTTGCAAAACAACAACTTTGCACGTGCACCACGCTTTTTTGTACATTTCTCTGCCCGTTTTTTTTTTCAACATGCCTAATTTCGCGTTTTACGGAGGACGTAAACAAGCAACGACAAAATTTTATTTCTCTTACTGTACTTGGATATTGTGCCTAGGAATTCAACTCCAGGAGGGTTCGCCTACATTTGACAAAGTAAGTGGGTAGGAATAACTGCTATAAAGACTGAAAGAACGCAAATTCACTTTTTAAGCGACGTTCTTGTCGCCGTCGCGTCGTTGGATCTTTAAGAGGGTTCGCCTACATTTGACAAAGTAAGTGGGTAGGAATAACTGCTATAAAGACTGAAAGAACGCAAATTCACTTTTTGCCGCTTGAAGCGACGTTCTTGTCGCCGTCGCGTCGTTGGATCTTTAAGAATTTCGCGTTTTTATTATCAGCCGACGGAGGACGTAAACAAGCAACGACAAAATTTTATTTCTCTTACTGTTCGGACGCTTGGATATTGTGCCTAGGAATTCAACTCCAGGAGGGTTCCTTTCATGCCTTTCTTTTTTTGACAAAGTAAGTGGTGTCAGGATGATATTTGATTTCCAGAGCTAAAACTTTCCGGAATAACTGCTATAAAGACTGAAAGAACGCAAATTCACTTTTTAAGCGACGTTCTTGTCGCCGTCGCGTCGTTGGATCTTTAAGTCCCTACTGACTAGTCTGAACGACAGACGTTGGCTGTTTAGACCGACTTTAAGATGTATGTAACTGGCAGCAAGTAAAGTACCCGGCACTTGTCTTTCAGCATACCCCCCTTCACTGTTTTATTACTGTCAGTTAGGTTGTGTTAAATTTGAGCCATTGCTTGTTTTTAATTCTCAAGGTGAATAACAAGCTGGCAAAATGCAAGCCCATCACAAATATTTACGATGCAGCCCTTGTTGTTGTTTGCAAACAAGCTCTCTATCCTTTTGTAAGTTATTTGTTAGCCAGACTTGTAAACTGATAGTTTTTAAGATTACTTAGTGTGGCATACATGGCCTTAAGTTACTGGAGCAAAATGTTTTAGTTTTATTTGTTACGTATCTCCTAACGCATTAGCAAACAACAGCATCATGGGAAACCAATTCCAATTCGATCTGTAAGCTTACGACTGGTTTAAGACACCAAAACGGGTGATACATTTTTGGGAGTCCGTTTTGTTTCTTCACTGCTATGATAACGGTCATTACAGCTGTTACAAAATTGTGACGACATCGTTGTCAGAATTTGAGAATTTGAGAATTCAACGTGGCGCGATGGGGCGTACTGTCCATTTGTAAAGTAGACTCTCTAAAAGTCCTTTATTTTTTTCCTGGTTTGTTATGCCATTTTAAAGGCCTTAGCCCTTTTCATACCTGTTTGACGCGAAATTCACCGGTCGAAAATTCCACCAGTGACGTCATGACAATTGACCAGTAGGACAGTCAGTGATATTTCACGCCTCTCCCGACACAGCATATATCAATCATTTTTTCCCGCGTGAATTTATAATATGATTTAAAATCCATTCAGGCGAAACAAGTCGACTTCGCTCGGTTGCCGCGCGACCTCATGCATTGAAGCTCGCTTCGCTCACTTTTAAGAACTTATGAAAGGTCGACTTGTAGCAAGTCCAGTTGTAAAGATGTCCAGAAGTCCAGTTGTGTGTTCACATGGATTCTTTTGGCCATGGTGTTACGTCAAGTCTTCAAATTGGCGGCTATATAACGTAGTGAATTAAACAAGTAAACATATATTTTTTCTCTACCAGTTCAGTTCAATTCTTCATTCATTCAAATCCTACTGACAGTATTAAAGTAAATACTGTTATAAGGTGGGAAAATTTTGTAAACGAAAACCATAAATAATTTATCTTTCTATTTTTGACTTTGTAGAACGGTTTTTGGTTCTCCATCGGCTACTGCTTGTTTTTCTTCATTCCTGCGATAATCTTTTGTGTGAAACTTGCCAAGCATTACCGTCGAATGGATTACGAAAGTGACTTCGATCAGGGATGGGATGCGTAAGTCTACTGGTAGATTTTGACATAATTGGCTTCTCTGACGAAAACATGAAAATCATGTGGAATATTAGCCTGAAAAGAACAGCCGACATTTCGCGACCCCGCCACTGGTTTCCCCGCGAAATGACGTCTGAAAAACAAGCGCAGAAATTCCATACTGATGACTTGTCACTACCCAGATCTGGGCAGTGCTTCTGATTGGTTGAAGCACATTTTCCACGTGGCACGAAACCAGTGGTGGCGTCGTGAATTGTGGGTTGTTTTCTCAGGCTAGTGGAACATGTGAGACAAACGGATCATGTAATATTTGTACCCTCCCCCCGCTACCACAGACAAGAAACCGTTTTGCCGAGACTGAGCATCGAAGGATGTCTTCCGCTGTACTTGGACTGTACAACGCTCTTTGCCAACATTTCTAAACTCAACAAGCATTCAACGAACTCTTTCAGAAACAGACGGTAGAAAGCGGCACCGTGGTCGAGTTTGTAGATTTAGTGTCCGTTGTCCGTATTAGAGAGAGTCAGTATTATAGAGGTTCTTTTAAAAGAAAATATATGAGAATTTTGTCGGGACATTGGAAACTGTCCGTAATAGAGAGGTGTCCGCATTAGAGAGGTGTCCGTACGGAGAGGTTCGACTGTACAGTCAAACCCCGCTCTACGAACCCCTGCTTAATACAGACACGTCATTATTGCGGACAGTTTGCTTTGTCCCTTGGAAAAGAAACCTTTACATTTTCCCTAAATTCAACCCACTTAATACGGACACCCCGTTAATACAGATTCTTTGATTTTGTACATAGTGAGATGGTCGAGATGGCACCTACATCAGCCCCACCTGTCTAGTAAGTATTTTGTCCGGCATGATTTTCACTTCAGAGGATTCACTGTGAGAGGTGGTCTTAAAGATAGAAGGTCGCATAAGTTTTCCCTTGCGTGGCAGGCTAAAAATTATATGCCCCTCTTCAACCTTCTTCCCAGGTTTCTCACCTGCTCTGCCCCGGAACGAGAGGACCCTGGGAACGAGGTCAGCTTCTCTCTTCCCCTTCCCAGCATTCCTCTCCTTAATTGCCTTCTCTTTTGCAATTACCAACTGGTCATGGAATTTACTGAAAACAAATAGTCAGACCGTTTGGAAACATGGCGAAGTATTAAAGAACTGCGATTTTTTTCGTCTTCTGCATCGCCATGCACACTTTTAATGGCAGCCACCCGTAAACTGCTTAAATGCAGTTTCTTGCTTCAGTGCCGGCTTAAGTGTTTATCAAATTAATTCCTCTGTCTCTCTGTTTACAGCGGTGACAAGAAAGTGTGGGCCAACCAAAAGTAAGTTTTGAACGCTGCGCAGTCACTTCATTATTTCTCCTTTATACATAATCAGTTGACCAGGAAGCTCTCAGATTTTGTGTTTACACTATCTCGTGGTAGTCAGAATATTTGTGTTGTCTTCAACCTAGAAGAATTCAGGCATAAGCTTTTTAATACAGGGTTGAGGCAAGCTAAGTCCAGTACTGCTAGTTACTACTTGTGGTAGTTTTGGGTTTTTATCGGTTTAATTAGCCTATTTCCGACTTCCAATAACTCTCACCTTCAAAACGAGGCTAAGTGTGAAACCTTTCTTGTGAAAATGAGTTTTGCTTGCACGGGAATAAAACAGATATAATTTTCATATCAATAGCCTGCCACTTAGCCTCGCTTTGAAACAAAGGCTTTGGCAACTCGGAAATGGCCTGTTTTGGTTTCTTGGACTGGAAAGAGGTTGAGTTTGAAATTGAAACAAAGCTTTGTCAGTTGTTAGAAAAGGTGCCCCACCACGCCCCAGCTTACGCAACACTGACTTTCTTGTTATGTAAGTTGGGTGACCTGTGGTATAGATATCTCCTTCTCTCTCTCTCTCTCCTCCTACCTGCTGTCGAGTTTTCTAGTGCTTTACACTGCTTAAATAATTAGATAATCTGATTGCTGAGATTACACTCTGACTAGAATAAATTTTAAACGTTTCTTGTTTTAACCCAACTACTTTTTTTTAATTTTTAACATTATAATATTTAACCAGTGTGAATTTATTCTTTGGAGGCTAAAAAACTGTTTGCTGCACCAGCATAAAGTTCAAACTTTTAACAAATTTTTAAACAAACTAACAGTCTATTAGCATGAAAGTGTCGTTTCCCTGTTCTGTTTTGATTTCTTTTACATTACGTCGACAGTAGTTTTTGACCTTTGGGGAAATACTCACACCGCAGTTGGTTCTAGCCGTTGCCCTTGTGTATAGGCTAAGACTTGTGGTCGTTGTGTGGAAGTTCAAGTGTTCTTATAAGTTAACGAAACCGGGGCGGGGCACTTAACCCTTTAAGTCCCAATAGTGACTAACGTCAATTTTCTCCTAAAGATTTCCATACAGTGTCAAGCGATTAGGTTACGAGAATTAATAAAAATGATCACCTAAGGGAAATACCCTGATCTTTTATCAAATTCTCTCAACTCATTCATGATGGAAATGTATGGAGATCAGTTTGGAGAATTTGTATGTGGATATTGGGGCTTAAAGGGTTAAGGGCTGTTTGGTTAGAGGTCAAAAACCCGAGGCCTTTATTGAGTAACAACATTTTCGTGCGACACAGACTGTTTACTAAATGCATATTTAATGTTTCTGTAATGATCTGAATCAACTAAATGCTAACTAACACATGCACATGCAGTTTGACGTTCGTGAATCTTTATCGAGTGCGTTTTTTTTTTGGTTCAAAACGTGGCTAGAAGTATCAAGTGACACTTGTTTACTGATCTGTTCTTCTGTCAGAAATTCGGTGTTTCCACAAGCCCCTCCTGTCAGAAGCTAATGCCGGTAAAATCTTCTAAGCTCTTTATTTTTCTACCCCACCTCAGTCACGCTATCTTCAGCTGTTCTTGTCTGCGAATTTGTAAGAAAGAGTTGAAATTAACAAAATTTTGTTCATGTGTTCTTAAAACGAGTTTAAATGTTTGCGAATTAAATTTAAATTCTTTGTCAATGAAACGTCGACCAGAGATAAGCGATATATCTCGAGCAAATTATCGGAATAACTCTGCTGATTGGTTTTGATCTTGTCCTTGCTACTTGGAAACTTATACTGTTGCAGATATTCAATATCAGCAACAGTATAAGTTTCCAAGTTTATAAGTTTCCTTTGTAATATTTTTTGTTTTTCTAGGAGTGGGAGAGGGGGGAGGGGACAAAGAATCCGAAATAGGAAATAGGATCCAAAAACATTTAACAGCGAAAAATCTACAAACAAAAGGTTTTGCATCTAGCTGGATTTCACATGCTTGAAACTTTTGCATGGGCAGCCTGCTCAGCCTTTCTGATTTGACTCAGGTTTTTGTTATTTTGTCTCTGCTTCAACAGATTATTTGAACCACAATCGCAGAAATATAACTTAAATTGAAAAGGATATCATATGAAATGGCAAAAGAAACGAAACAGCATGCAGAGCTAGTGAAGTTGGCTAAGAGACCAATTCCCAAGACATTTGTCCTTTTCTTTTACAAATCCATTTACTGAGTATTACCTCGGTACTAGTGGCCAATTTGATTCTGAGCAGTTTTTTCAAGATTTCAATGTTATACTTAAAGAAGTTTTAATGAGATGTTTATATATATTTTCAGTTAATAAAAGAGAAACTGGAAAGTCTGTTTTATTCTCCTCCTCCCCCACCCCCTCCTCCCCCGGGTTGTGCTTCAAGTATACCGTGACCAAATGTGACAACGTCCTAAAATAGCGAGACAGAACTCGCTTAAGACGGCGTGACCGAAGTTAACTTATTTTTTTGTATTTTTGGGAAACGGGTCTCGTGCTTGAAAGACTGTAGATTCGTGATTGTGTTATGTAATTTGTTGTTAAAAAACGCTCAGAATCGGTTGGTTTTTAAGACACATGAGTGATTTGCAATATTTCAAGTTCACTGAAAGTGAAGTAAATGTTCATATATAAAAATGAGACCTTTTAGCCTTAGATTGTTAAATTTTTATCATTACTCTTCAAACTAACACAGTAAGCTCATTTAATTCAGAATAATTGATCATCATCGATTAAGGAATTTTGTTAATGTTTAAAATAACCCGTTCCGGGCGTTCATATAGCGTTAAGAGTGTTTAAGTGTTGATTCGTCTTCTCATGTGAAAATCCCATTAACAGCCGGTTAAACGTCGGAAAGCAAACGAGTGAAAGAACTGAAGTTAAATTAAATGTTAAAACTTAAAGGAAGATATATCTCGCTTTGTTTCCTCTGTAGACGTGAAGTGTATTTGGTAGTTAAGTCAGCTTGTTCAACCCAATCTGACATTTTTTGTGTTTTATTTTCAGTGGTTATCCTCCGCCAAATTACCAATAACAAACCCCTATCCGCTTGGGCTGCAGCAGACACTAACCAGCAAGCGTCAAAATGGCGTTCAAACAGGTGTTTAAGACACCTCTTGTGTAGATATGACTCTTTATATTGACCCCAGTTTAGAAAATACCAGAAATATTTTTTTGTAGCTCAGCAGTAGTGGTCAGGCACCTCGACGACCGCAGTATATTGAAAGCCAGATATTATATCCCGCAGTAGTTCATCCGCTATTTAACTTAATTATCCTTGCGACATGAAAGCTGTAAATTTTAAGTGTGATGGTTTTCATTAATCGAAAGGAAAACGCCTACCAGTCGGGTTAAACACTATACACTTAATGTCAGATCCCTCGGGAAACAGTTAGTTTTGTTTTCCTTCGAGTCCTGATGTTTTCCTCGACTTCTTCCCGGGAAGCATCAAAACTCGAGGGAAAACTAAACTAACTGTTTCCCGAGGGACTAGACATAACGTGTTTTGTTATATTTCTAGACTTTCACTTCTGTCACTTCAACAACAACAAAAGAATATTAAACCGGAGCGAATCAAAACAGTCGACTCGGTACTTGTAACAACACAAATTTAATTCTCAAAACCACTGACTGAATGAGTGACAAAGTACTTTCCTTATATTATCTTCA